AGGAACCCCTCAGGCTGTGGTTGGGTCTCTTCACGCACTTTTTACTTCCTCTTTGCTACTGTTTGAATCAATGTAACAGATATCTATTGCTTCTGTCTGCCCAGAATCGAGTCCCTCTTAATTTATATAGATATCATTGAATAAGACAAGTTCCTAATTATGCTAAGCCCCTGGATCCAGCTATACCCAAAGTCAGAGCCACTCCTGGACTATACATTCCCCTTTTCCCTTAGGTAAATCTGAATGGCGTCTTCAGTTAGTTAGTTGCAACCATAAATTACCCTCTCCCTTAAGCCAGTTTGAATGGGGTCTTTAGTAAACTGATACAGAAATGAATAATTTACAAGGGGAAGAAACTCACTCAAATTAGTAGAGCTAAAAGGCATTTACTTTATTACTTACTAAGGGAAAATTAGTAATTACCAAATGATCAAAGTTAACATTACCAGGCATGTAAGAAATTGACATCATGGGCCTGCTGATATGAAATATTGAAGGTACAACAGCATGTCAATGATATTCCTGACTAAAGTGCATAACTGAATCTAATCATGAGGGAGACATATTGAAATTGAAGGATATTCCACAAAATAGCCGTCCTGTAATCTTCATATATGTCAGGGTCATACAACACAAAAGATGACTGAATTGTTCCAGCTTAAAGGAGACTAAAGAGACATGGCAACTGAGGGCAACACATATTTTCTATAAAGGGTATTATGGGGACAATTGACAAAACTGAGTAAGAATTGTAGATTAGATAACAATATTGTGTCAATGTTAATTCTATTACACTACGGTTGGGTAAGAGAATGCCTTGTTCTTAGGAAATGTGCACTTAATCGTTTAGGGTAAAAGGTTATCATGTCTTCAATTTACTCTCAAACAACTGAGAAAAATAATGTGTGTTTATACAGAGAGATAGAAAAGGATAAAACAAAGGTAAAATGTTGACATTTGGGGAATGAGGGTGAACTGTATTGAAATGCTTTGTATCCTTCTCAGAACTTTTCTGGAGGCCTGATATCACATCAAAATAAAAGTTGATTTTAAAAAGTGCATTGTAAAGGTGCATGACAATGTCATGGAAGAAAAGAATCGGAAGTACAACTGGGTCTCATGGGTTGTGCAAATCTATCCAGTTCCTTTTTTTTTTTTTTTTTGTGGTATGCGGGCCTCTCACCGCTGCGGCCTCTCCCGCTGCGGAGCACAGGCTCCGGACGCGCAGGCCCAGCGGCCATGGCTCACGGGCCCAGCCGCTCCACAGCATGTGGGATCCTCCCGGACCGGGGCATGAACCCGTGTCCCCTGCATTGGCAGGCGGACTCCCAACCACTGCGCCACCAGGGAAGCCCTATCCAGTTCTTTTTATCTTTCATTGGTCCCATCATCTTTTGTCTACATCCCTCAGCAGATTTCCTCCATTCTCTCCTTGTAGATACCTAGCTTCCCTCTTTGTCCATAATTATTGCTTGTCCAGGAATTGACTGCCCCAGTTCTAGAGCACCACACCCTTGCCTGACTCTGAAATGTAGTGCCTTTATTCCAAATTTCAGACAGATCAAATCGGATTGGCTCAAGCTGGGTTAAGAAAAGGAGATCATAAGGGAAATGAAGACTATCTAGAGCAACAACATGGACAGTCAGACCCAAAAGAGAACATACTGTATGATTTCATCTCTTTAAAGTTAAAAACAGTCAAAACTGATTTGTGGCAAGAGTGGTTACCTTTGGGGGAGAGGGAGACAGTGATTGGAAAGGGACACAAGGAGGGTTTTTACGAGACTGATAATGTTGCTCCTTGACCTGGGTGCTAGTTACACAGGTGTTGTCATTTTTTGAAAATTTATCACACAATACTTGTGATATGGGCACATTTCTTTATGTGTGTTATATATCATTAAATTTTTTACATTATATCTCATATCTGGCATTATGGTTGGAATTATAATTTTCTGATATGGTTAATAACGCTTGGTACCGTTCTGAACAAATAAATTATAATTGTCACTCTATTTACTGTATAGTTTCATTTCAGAAAAAAAGTTCGTATATTTTAAACCATACCAAAATTTTTCATACATGCGTATTTATATTAGTTTAAGATAATTATAAACTTATCTTTTTACCCATATGAATGCCTTTAACGATGTTTTCAAGTTGTTCAGGACGCGGACGCAATATCCAGCAGCATGCCTTGACGCTGGCCTCTTAAATGTCTGGAGGGTGGGAGGGAGGGAGACGCAAGAGGGAAGAGATATGGAAACATATGTATATGTATAACTGATTCACTTTGTTATAAAGCAGAAACTAACACACCATTGTAAAGCAATTATACTCCAATAAAGATGTTAAAAAAAAAAATGTCTGTAGCGCCCTCCGTCAACGCGGCAACCAAAAACGTTTGCGCAAATTTCCAAAACTCCCACCAGGGGGCGGTACCGCCCCTTTTGGGAAGAACCAATCTACCAGATTTGTTGTGTATTGGGAGCTCAGGGGACGGGTCTGTGCTGGAGATAATAACTTGGTGGTGGTGGTGGGAGTGTCTTCTGCATGTTAAGTGGTCACTGAGCCCCAATATTAAAGGCTAAGTAGCTGTGCAGGGCATCAAGACATAGGGGACCGCAGGAGCACAGCGTGCGGAGGGATTTTCTTAAAATTGTCGCAGGAGAATAACTGTCAAGGCAGGGAGAGGTAGGAATTGAGGCTGGCGAGATGGGCAAAGATATATCACGAAGGTCATCTTATGGCGTTTGTACTTTATCCTATGGGTGATACGAAGCCACTAAATAGCTGAAATGCAACAACGGACAGACAGCATTTATTAGCTGTTTCCACATGCCAACCCCTTTTCTAAGTTCTTTTTATGTATTCTCTTCCGGAACCATCAGAATTACTCATGAGCTCAGTTGTCCTGTCATCCAGAGTTCATTCACCCTTTTCCTGGTGACCTGCAGTCTCCCCTCGGGAAGCATTGGTGCCTGGTCTCCTACTTCAGATATGCTTTGTGCTTCGTATGTAGCCCACTCTACCTGGGGCTCCACGAATAGGGACAGCCCTGGGAACTGACCAACCCGAGCGTCTTATTTTCTAAAGCCCAGTGATTGGCTTACGGGTCATCAGGTGACCCAGTCAGAACCAGCGAGAGGACTCTGACCCCCGCAGTTGTTCTCCCCCTTAGAACTCTGCCCTGCCTCTGAGCTAATATTAAAGCCCCTTTTACTCTCAGCAGGAAGTGGGTGGTCACCCACAGAAAGACCATCTGGAAACTTCATTCAAGAACCTTCCCTAGCTACTGTTGAGCGGCTTGTTGTGTTCTGCCTGTTCTGCCAGGAGCTCAAGGTTCCCCACCTAGCCTCTGCCTCCCACCGCACTGTCATTTTCAACTTCACTTTCTACCAATCCTAGTTCTGTGTTTCAGGTAGTTAAGAAGAAATGCTTTACCTCCTTGTCTTTAAATCGTCTGTGATCTCGACCTGGTATGCCCACCCATTTTATTCAGTAAGAATTTGTGGGGCATCTAGTCCATGCTGTACTCTGGAGGATGCAGAGATAAATAGTAGATCTGGTTGTCTTCAATGTTGTGCAATTTCGCTTTGATGTATTTAGGCATGAATTTATTTTTATTTATCTTGTTTAGGATATACTTGCTTCTTGGAACTGTGGATTCATGTTTTTCATCAGTTCTGGAAAATTCTCAGCCATCATTTCTTCAAAGATTGCTGTTCCTCTGTTCTATTTTCTGCTTTTTGGTCTTCTATTAGATATTTGATGTATCTTAATCTCTCTTTCATATATCCATCTCTTTGTGCTATGTAATTTCCTCTGATAAATCTTTCAGTTCAAAAGTTCTGTCTTCAGCTATGTCTAATCCACTGTTTTAATTTTTATTGTGGGAATTGCATTTGTTATATTTTTAATCTCTAAAAGTTTCATCTTTTATTTTTCAAATCCACTTTTTTCATTCCTGATACTCTCTTGTTGCTTGCTTACATTTGTGATTGTATATTTTATTTCTTTAAAAATTTTACAAAGGGCTAGTCTGTAGTCTGATTTTGACAATTCCAATATCTGAAATTCTTGCAGGTCTGAATCTTTTGTTTGTTGTTGTGTTATACTGTATTTTTCCAAAGATGGCCAAAACAAGATTTGCTCTTTACAATATGACTTGACACAGGGCAAGTTTATGACTATGGCAGAAGTGACATTGTGATTTCCAAAGCTAGGTCATAAAAGGCAGTACAACTCCTCCCTGATTCCTTTAGCATGCTCTCTCTAAGAACTCCACCACCATGCTGCAAAGAAATCCAAGCATCCTATGGAGAGGAACTGAGGCCCCCAGCCCACAGACCTGACCGAATCTCCAGCCAACAGCCAGCACCAAGTTGTCAGGCACGTGAGTACAGTATCTTGAAAGTGCATCCTCCAGCCCCAAGTTGAGCCAACCCTGCTCATACTACATGGAACAGAAACAAACAACGGAACTGAGCCCTGCCCAAATTGGGAAATTGTAAGCAAAATAAATTATCGCTATTTTTAAAAGCTACCAATATTAGGGGTAGTTTACTTTGCAACAGTTGTTAACTGGAGCAGTTGCTTCTGCTAACCCTCACTCACAGTGGCTTACTTTCTTGTGTGCTTGGTGATTTTATTTTTCTATATATTACCAGGCTGGAACATCATTATTTTAGAGTGATTTATCTTCTCTTTTAGGACAGACCTCAAAGTTAACTACTGATGAGATTTCCCATTTCTCATCCCTCTTACTCGATAACCCTAAAGAACTCACCCCTAGCCTTGGATGGCCCCATCCTGGGACAGTCTGTACTTTTCACATTTGTAAATATCAACATCAGACTGATAATAATCTCATCACCACGCCCCAGTTCACCCCCCACATCTCTACCCTGGGAGAAGAACTAAATTCTTCGATTGGTTAACACATTGTCAGAGGTCAGGGAGCAGGCTAGTTTCCTCCTACTATGGGAAATTGATACAACCACACACATCACTAGTTCAGTGTAAGTGTGGCTCACCTATGCCTAATTTGAGAAAGGAGCAAATTCATTCTCCCTTCAATAATCTCCCTCTATCACCATTAACCTTTGAGATCCCTAAATGCAAGCAGTTCACCTGCTGCTGCTTGGTTCTATCTCCTTAGTTGTGGCACGCGGGCTCCTTAGCTGTGGCGTGTGAACTCTCAGTTGCAGCATGCATGTGGGATCTAGTTCCCTGAGCAGGGATCAAACCCGGGACCCCTGCATTGGGAGTGTGGAGTCTTAACCACTGTTCCACCAGGGAAGTCCTGGTTCTATCTCCTTAAGAACAAGCAAGGGGGGAAAAATGTAAGATCTGCCAGCTGAGAAATAAAAAATATCTTCTCCAAATCCCACTAAGGTGCCTTTCCCACCCAGAACTGAGTTTTCCCACTGCTATATATCTCCTTGTAACTTAATTAAAGAGCAATCAGGGCCTGCCTGCCTACCCTCCAGCATAAACATCCTTGGAAAACGTCAAACACACCTGGATAACTAATTTTGTCCTGAGAACCTCTCATGAGGGAGGGGAAGATCTTGGCACCGCCTCTAGTGGAGCGATGAGTGCAACACCACGGCACCTTGGTAAGCAGCGCCACTGTCAGTAAAACCACTGTTAGAGCACTCTACCTCTCCCCACTGCCCCCTACTCTATCCCCTGTCAGATCATGACTTTTTTGAGGGAGTGATTCTTGTGGCCTCCTCTACTTCTTGCCGGATCAGCACTGACTCAAGAAGTTGATCTTATCCACGTGGAAACAACTTAGATGTCCATCAACAGATGAATGGATAAAGAAGACGTGGTACGTATATACAATGGAATACTACTCAGTCATAAAAAAGAATGAAATAGTGCCATTTGCAGCAACGTGGTTGGACCTAGAGATTATCATACTGAGTGAGATAAGTCAGAAAAAGAAAGACAAGTACCATATGATATCACTCACATGTGGAATCAAAAATATGACACAGAAAACTTATCTATGAAACAGAAACAGACTCACAGACATAAACAGAATTGTGGCTGCCAAGGGGTGGGAGAGGGATGGGTTGGGAGTTTGGGATTAGCAGGTGCAAACTATTATATACAGAATGGATAAACAACAAGGTCCTACTGTGGAGCACAGGGAAGTATATTCAATATCCTGTGATAAACCAAAATGGAAAATAATATGAAAAAGAATGATGTGTATATATATGTATAACTGAATCGCTTTGCTGTATGGCAGAAATTAACACAACATTGTAAATCAACTGTACTTCAAAAAAATAAATTTTAAAATTTATGACTTTAGACCCAAACTCTGGTTTACAGGAAATACAGAAGATAAAGGAACACATTAAATGACATCACAATGATCAGGCAAATACAATATGTAGGACATTCTGTAAGACAACTTTAAACTTTGTTTGCAAATTTTCATGATAAAATGTCAGGGAAAGTGAAGAAATTATCAGTGATGGGAATGCATTCAACACAACGATCTGCAAATGTTAAAAATGAGGCAGATCAGCAAACTATAGAGAAAATGAACAAAGTTTGAAAAAATCAGCAAGATTGATAAAATCCCCAGTTAGACTGATCACGAAAAAAAAAAGAGAGAACAGAAATTACTAATATCAAGATTGGAAGAGAGATTATCACTACAAATTCTGTCACCATTAAAAGGATGTAAAGTGAATATTATGACGACTTTGTGTCAAGGCCTTGACCATTTAGATGAAATGCCAATTCCTTGAAAAACACAACATATGAGAGCAACTCAAGATGCAATAGAAAATATATTTATTCAAGAAATTGAACTTATTGTTAAAATCCTTCCCACAAAGAAAGCTCCAGGCCCAGATGGCTTCGCTGGTGAAATCTATTAAAGATTAAAGAGAGAAATAACATAAAATCTTTCAAATCTGAGATCCAGCTATATGTGCTCAGATGGAAACAATCCCTCAAAATACATTAAGTAAAAAAATCAATGTGCAAAGGGACAAGTAGTATTTTCTCATTTATGTAACAAAAAATAGCTATATAGGTGTGTTTCTATGCACAAATTACCCTCTGCAAGGATACCCTGTTGCTTTAGAGGCGTGAATTGAGGAGTTGGAGAAACTGTTTCACTCCTTTTCCTTTTGTATTATCTTAATTTTAAAATATGAACTGTGCATGTAATAAGAAAAGTTTAAAGACTTTTTAACCCAGGATTTTCTGGATTTATAGTCTGACTCTTGTCCCTTGATTCTGTGAATTAGGTACTGAGGAAAAGACTGCAAAAAGGGTGGTTAAAATATTATTCCTGGGGTTTAGGGGACAAGGACATTAAATCCACACTTGGCCACTGGCTGTGTGACTTCAGACATCTTTACCTCTCTGAGGCTCCACTTTTACTATCTGTGAATGGGAGGTTGTGCATTAAAGGATTAATTTTGTCCAACTCCTGGGAGGTAACCTCTAATCCCTTGGAATATCCTGCTTGTTAGGAGTATCTTTGTTTACCTGGGGTCCTTGGGCTGTGCAGTATAAGCTTGACCCCTGGAGGGGCTGGAGACTAAGGTCAGTCATGTGGGAGGTAGGCCATGCCCATGTGACTGACCCCCAATAAAAGTCTGGACACCACAGCTCATGTGAATGTCCCTGGCTGTAGCACTCCATGTGTGTTTTCATGTTTTGTTGCTGGGAGAATTGAGCACCATTCACTGGGCTCCGCTGGGAAAGGACAATGAGAAGCTTGCTTTGGTGTCTCCAGGACCTATGTCTTGTCTTGGTGTCTCCAGGTCGTATGTCTCCTATGTCCCATAGCTTCTTCCCTTTGGTATTTTTAATCTGTATCCTTTCACTGTAATAAATCATAACCATGAGTAAACCAGTTTTTCTGAGTTGAGTCCCTCCAGCAAATCGGTGAGCCTGATGTGGTTTTGGGGATCCCTAAACACAGGGGTGATTAATGTCATATACCTCTTCAGGGGCATAGACACCAATGGGGTTGTACGTACACAAAACTTAATGATCACAGCCAGTATGTATTGAGCACATACTGTATACCAGGCTGTGTGTGTCCACGAGCTCACTGGATCCTCATAACAACTCCGTGAGGCTGATACTATGATTAATTTCTTGTTTTTATTTTATTGTGAAATGTACTGTACATTCAGGAGTGTAAAATATAAATGTATGGCTTTAAAAAATACTTATAATGTGAATAACTGTGAATCTTCATCAGGTTAAGATAAAAAGGACATAGAAGTCCCCATGAGCCCCTACCCAGCTACAACTCCTCTAATCCCTTGAGGTAACCACCTTTCTGACTTTTGTGATAATAATTTCCTTGCTTGCCTTTCTTTATAGTTTGACCACCGATGTATGTATCCCCCATACTATATTGCCATTTCATTATCCCTGCTTTTGAGTTTTTTGAATAGAATAGGACAGCATGTCCTGTTTGGCTGTTTGATGTCTGGTTTCTTTCACACACCACGTGTGTGAGATTTATCCATGTGGTTTTACGTATCAGTAGTTTACGCTCCTTTCACGACTCTGTAGTATTCTGTTGTATGACGATACCACAATGTATCTATCCATTCTCCAGTTGATGGAAATTCCCATTTGGGACTATTACAAACAATGCTGCTGGGAACATTTCTTCCTGTACATGTTTTCTGATGCCCATGTTCAAGTTCTCTAAGATATATACTTAATAGGGAACAGATAGGTAAAAGGTTATGTGCATTTTCAAATTTATTCAGCAGCACTACCCTCTCTCCCATTTTAAGATGAAGCAATTGCAACAAGAGAGGTGAATACCTTTCCCAAGGTCACAAAGCCACACTGCCTTGCTCCCAGAGCCCACATTCTCACTTAACACCCACTGGCATATGATGGGCACCTAATAATTGTGAGCTGTTATTCTGAGGGTCGTTGGGGGCTGTTTTGGGGGGGTTCCTTTCCTGTCCCCATTATTCTGAACTATGTCCCCATAAGTTAATAATTAACTGCCCCTCAAGGAGCCTGTGATCCTAAAGATTTACCTTTCCCTGGTTACTGTCTGGTTAATCAGTCACTGGCCCTGGCCGGGCAAGGGGCACTAGGTGGACCAGCTGCCTCCGAAGCCCCCTGACCTGGTGTGGAAGTGGCGAAGGATTCCTGATGCTCTGGACCTGTCGTGTGCTCTGCTCCCAAGCGGGGTCCTCCGCTGGGGGCTGGAAGCCCCTGAGCTTTGATGGTGGGGCCTTCCACCTCAAGGGCACAGGAGAACTGACCCGGGCTTTGCTGGTGCTACGGCTGTGTGCCTGGCCCCCTCTGGTCACCCACGGCCTGGCGGTGAGCAGTGACCGTGGGGACTGGCCCAGGGGGTCCCCAGGGCCAGGCTCTGAGCCCTTGCTCCCTGTCACCCCAGCTCCAAGCCTGGTCTCAGCGACTCCTGGGGTCCCAGCTCTCGGGCGCGCTTCTCCGAGCATCCATCTACGGGCAGTTTGTGGCTGGTGAGACCACAGAGGAGGTGAGGGGCTGTGTCCAACAGTTGCAGAGCCTAGGCCTCCGGCCCCTGCTGGCGGTGCCCACTGAGGAGGAGCCAGACTCAGCTGTCAAGACCGGGTGAGTAGGGGGCCAGGGACCAGGGTGGCCGGGAGGCTTGCAAGAAGGGGGTTAGTGGGCTCCAAACCCTGACGCCTGCTGGCTGGGCAGCGAGGCCTGGTATGAGGGGAACCTCAGCGCTATGCTTCGATGTGTGGACCTGTCACGAGGCCTCCTGGAGAGCCCCGGCCCGACTGGAAACATCCTCATGCAGCTGAAGATTACGGCTCTGATGAGCACTCGGCTCTGTGTAAGGGACGGGCAGGGTGGGAGGGGAGGGGGTGGGCGCCCCCCAGGTCCCCCTCGCTACCCCACCTACCACCCCATTCCAGAAGGAGCTAACCTCACGTGTCCGAAGGCCAGGGGGCTCCTTGGAGCTGAGCCCTGAAAGACTGGCTGAAGCCATGGACTCTGGGCGGGTAAGGAGCTCAGGCTGGGGGAGATTGAATGGTTGGTGGGGAATGTGGGGGAAGCAGAGCCCCCTGGACTTGGAGGTAGCAGGCACCCGCCAGCGGCATGTTCAAAATGTTTAACTACCTCTACTTTCCAGGCTTAGAATGATCAGAATAAGTGTGGCTACAGACCTGGGGCATGGCTGGAATAAATGGAATATGGGTCACCTGGGGACTCTAGGGGAGGGGCCTGGGGGCTGGGAGCTCTCAGAGGAGACACTGAGACAGCAGCTCTTTACCAACTAGAAGAAAGCAATCAATATTTTATCAATCGACTCAGCTATGCTAGTGTGTGCTAACTAGATGGAAGCTATGATTAGACCAATGGGTTTTGGTTCATTCATTCACTCATTTGTTCTTTCACTGATTCTTTTTTTTTAATTAACTGTAACTTTTGAAAAATATTTACTTTATTCATTTACTTATTTGGTTGCGCCGGGTTTTAGTCGTGTCAGGTGGGCTCCTTAGTTGTGGCACGTGTGCTCTTAATTGTAGCCGGCAGGCCCCTTAGTTGCGGCATGCATGTGGGATCTAGTTCCCTGAGCAGGGATCGAACCTGGGCCCCCTGCGTTGGGAGCACAGAGTCTTAACCACTGCGCCCCCAGGGAAGTCCCTCTTTCATTTATTCTTTATTTCCATATCTTATTTCTACCTTCCCTGCCATCAGCAGCATGTATCTCTTTGTTACTGTGATTTTGTTTTGCCAAGTATATGCTCTTTGGGGGCATATTTTTCCAACATTTTATTATGAAAATTTTCAAACATACAGAAAAGTTGAAAGAATTTTACAGTGAACACCCATATACCTGCTGCCGTTAACATTTAACTATATTTGCTTTATTTATTTATTTATTTTTAAACATCTTTATTGGAGTATAATTGCTTTACAATGGTGTGTTAGTTTCTGCTTTATAACAAAGTGAATCAGGTATACATATACATATATCCCCATATCTCTTCCCTCTTGCATCTCCCTCCCTCCCACCCTCCCTATCCCACCCCTCTAGGTGGGCACAAAGCACCGAGCTGATCTTCCCGTGCTATGCGGCTGCTTCCCACTAGCTATCGGTTTTACACTTGGTAGTGTATGTATGTCCATGCCACTGGGCTTATACTTGCTTTAAATCGTATCTATCCTTCTCTCCATTCCTCTATCCATCCATCAATCCACATTTTTTTGATGCATTTCAAAGTAAGTTGCAGACATCAGCACACTTCTCCCCCAAATGCTTCAGAATGCACATCACTAATTAGAGTTCTGTATTTATTTCTTTTCAGGTAAAATTTACGTACAATGAAATGCACACATTGTAAATGTACCCTTTGATGATGAGCTTTGACAAACACACACCTGAGCAATTCAAATCCCTATCAAGGTATAGAACATTTCCATCACTGCAGGAAGTTCCCTTGTGCCCTTCTCCATCAATGGGGCTGGGTGGGGGGTGGAGGGTATAGTTTTAAACGCACACAAGTAACATTATGTTATCTACGGCATTCTGTTTCTTACTTTTTTCACTGAGCATTCTGATTTTAAGATCCCTCCAAGCATCTCTGTGTACATCTAATCCATTTTTTAAAATATTTATTTGTTTGGCTGCTCTGGGTCCTAGTTGTGGCACGCGGGATCTTCGTTGCCGCGTGCGAGATCTTTTAGTTGTAGCATGTGGACTCTTAGTTACAGCATGTGGGATCTAGTTCCCTGACCAAGGATCGAACCTGGGCCTCCTGCACTGGGAGTGTGGAGTCCCAACCACTGGACCACCAGGGAAGTCCCTAATCCGTTGTTTTTAATGGCTGCTTCTGGCCACATGGTTTACCTCTCCTGGGATGGACACCCGGGTGGTTTCTGAGTCTCCGTCACCCCAAGTAATGCTGCCTGGGACCTGCTGAGGTTTCTTTTCTTAATTCGTAATTTTTAATATGTGTCACAGAACACATAGAAGCAGGACTTAGTGCTTCAAAGGATCAGCTCTGGAGTGTACCGAATTTCACCTCTTCATGAACTTAGTTTACTGATGTGAGGGCAGTGATAGTAATTTCTTCCCAGGGTGGTTTTAAAGACTAAAGCCCCTGCCAGGCTGGCATCTGCACGATGACAGAGGGGCCCTCATCCCTCTGTGTCACTAGGTTCCCTTGGCTTCCCCAGCACCATCAGACCTGGTGTTCCTTTTCCATCTCTGCCAGTTCATTCTCAACCTTTGTTAGGTTTTACTCTGCCTGACTCTTAAATATGGAGGTTCCTCAGGGCGAGGTGCCGGCTCACTCCCCTCTCACTCCTTACTCCCCTCCGAGGGGCCTTCGCACCCACCCCTACAGCCTGTTTCCCTGCTCTGCACTCATGATGCCTGCCTTCTGTCTCCAGTCCCTCTGGAACCTCCGCCTGGTCGTCCCCCAGACCCCTCACACCAACTGGGTCCCACACTGGCCTGTGTCTCCCCAAACCTGCCCCTTCCTCCTGTCCCCATCTCAGAGCAGTCCTACCACCCCCATCCCGATCCCAGGCCCCACCCATCCTTGGTCTTCACAGCCACTGGCTCCACAGCACGATTCATAACTGTCCTGTTCACGGCCATATCCCAGGCCATGGCACGTAGACAAGATGTGATAAACATATGTTAAATAAATGAGTAAATGAATGGAGCAAGTGAGTCTGAAACAGAAAATTAATGGTGGAGAACTTACCACGTGCACTGTCCTAAGTGGTTTATATGTGTTCAAGGGAAGCATTTACTCTCTGCCTGAAGATGCTGAGGTTTAAATCCCAGGTCAAGCTGTGTGATTTTATAAGTTTATTTATTTATTTATATTTTTGGCTGTGTTGGGTCTTCGTTGCTGCGTGCGGGCTTTCTCTAGTTGCGGCAAGCGGGGGCTACTCTTCGTTGAGGTGCGTGGGCTTCTTATTGCTGTGGCTTCTCTTGTTACGGAGCACAGGCTCTAGGCATGCAGGCTTCAGTAGTTGTGGCACACGGGCTCGGTAGTTGTGGCTCACAGGCTCTAGAGTGCAGAATCAGTAGTTGTGGCTCATGGGCTTAGTTGCTCCGTGGCATGTGGGATCTTCTCGGACCAGGGCTTGGACCCGTGTCCCCTGCATTGGCAGGCGGATTCTTAACCATTCTCCACCAGACACAGCTTGGAAGTCCCAAGCTGTATGATTTTAGACGAATGACTTCAACTCTCTATGCCTTCACCTCTGTTTCCCCCTCTGTAAAATGGGGATGACAATAGTCCCTACTTCAGAGGGTGGTGAAGGGTAAATGAGGACCTGAAATTGCATGTGGCACCCTGTCGACCCTCTGTGAGGGTGGTGGCTCCACCAGCTGCTCACACCCCAGAACTCTCCTGGGATGATGCCCCATAGGGAGACAATTCTCTGACTGAGGAGAAGAACTCCGCAGGTGCCCCTCACCCTCCCCTTCTCCTGGAGAGTCTTCTCCCCCAGGATGGGATCCATATCCATCCTGTTGACTATACTGGAGCCCTAAATTCCACCTGTTCCTCTTTCTTTAACTTCCCAATTTCTTTGAACCCAGCTGGACTCCCTGAGTCACCAGCAGCTCACATTCACCCTTGAATCCCCATAAGAGGACCCTGAACTAGGGATAGTTATTATTTCCACATTACAAATGTAACAATTCTCTAAACGTTTGTTGAACATCTACCACATTCCAGGTGCTGTGCCAGGGGTGGGGATGATGACCAAGATAAACAAAATCTCTGCCCTCGAGGTAATTACTTGCTAGTCTGGGAGGTGCAAGAGACACTCAATTGTTAAAACCAACGCCCAGTTGGGGCTTGCAGGGCCTCGTGCCAGGGTGGCGGGGGGTGGGGGGGGTGGGCAGCGCACCGAGCCAGGAAAATCATTCTTTTTCAAGTTTAGGTTCTAGTACCCCTCGGGGTCTCAGTTTCCTAATCTGGAAATTGGGAATAATATTTACTTAATTGTTTTAGGGGATCAAATTTATTAATGCAGATAAAGTAGGTGCTTTTGAAATTGGGCTCCGAGGGCTTCCCTGGTGGCGCAGTGGTTGAGAGTCCGCCTGCCGATGCGGGGGGCGCGGGTTCGTGCCCCGGTCTGGGAAGATCCCACATGCCGCAGAGCGGCTGGGCCCGTGAGCCATGGCCGCTGAGCCTGCGTGTCCGGAGCCTGTGCTCCGCAACGGGAGAGGCCACAACAGTGAGAAGCTCGCGTACCGCAAAAAAAAAAAAAAAAGAAAGAAATTGGGCTCTGAGAGCTTCCCCATATTAGTAAACCACCTTTTCACTTGAGCTCTTTTGAAAGGTTTCTGTTTATTGCTCCCTTACAATCAAATAATCTTGGATTCAGATGGGGAGTGTGGCTCAGAGACAGACACAGAGAAACATTGCCCTCTCTTTACTCTATCCCTAAGTGTGTGAAAAAATGTAATAAATGTTTAATTATACTAAAACAAAGCCGATATGTTACAAGTATAGACAGCCATTGTAGGGAAAAATAAGGCTGAGGAAGGGGAAAGGAAAGCCCCAGGAAGGGAGTTGCAAGTTCAAACCAGAGAAAACCTCATAGAGAAGGTGGCATTGAAATAAAGACCCTGCAGAGAGGTTGGAGTGAAGTAAGCAGACATCTGGGCAAAAAGTGTTCCAGGCGGAAGGAACAGCCAGAGCAAAGGCTCTGAGGTGGGAAGGTACCTGGCATGTTCAAAGACTAGCAGGGAGGCCCGTGAGGCTGGAGGGCAGTAAGTCAGGTGGAGGGCGGGAGGAGGTGAGAGCAGAGGGGTCAGACCAGGGGAGCCTAGTGAGTTGCAATGAGGCCTTCAAAGTTTGATGAGGAAACTGAGGTCCCAAGAGACGAATGCGAGGTAACACTTATGGCTCTTACTCTGAGCTAGCTACTGTTCCAGGCACTTTCTAGATGCTAATTCCAAGTCACGTCACCCTCCCACTGGAAAATGGGGCTTGGAATAACATCTGCCTACTAGGATCATTGTAAAGGTTAAATACGTAAGATGGCATTTGAAGCCACCTGTTATTATAACAGGTATTGAGTGCTTACCATATTCTGGCACTGTCCTGTCCTGTTTATGTCCAGGCACATCTCATATATTAACCCATTTTTATCCACACAGCAACTCCATGAGGTAGTTATTATTATCACCCCCATTTTACAGAGAAGAACACTGAGGCCCAGAGAGGTTATATGATTTGTTCAAGGCCACACAGTAAGTGGTGGAGCCAGGATTCAAACTCAGATTCTGAGCTCTCAACCATTGTATTATACCTCAATAAATAATATCAATGTGATACAGCTACTTTTCAGATTTCTAACAATTTCTGAACTGTTTTTCCCTTCCTGCTGGTGGGGGAGAGAAGACTTAGGTTCTGGAAGGGTCCAGTAGCCCTGAACTGCTCTTGCCACCCCCCACCCCCCACAGGACCTCCAGGTCTCCTGCCTCAATGTCGAGCAAACCCGGCATCTCCAGGCCTCCTTGAGCCGTTTGCACCGGGTGGTACAGGTAACACCTGCGGCCGCGGTCTGGCTCCACTGCACCTGCTTGCTGGTCACTCCTGGGGGCCCAACCACAGTCCCTCTCACCCTCAGCACGCCCGGGCCCAGCATGTGAGGCTCCTGGTGGACGCTGAGTATACCTCCCTGAACCCTGCACTCTCTCTGCTGGTGGCCGCTCTGGCCACTCGCTGGAACAGCCCCAGGGAAGGCGGGCCCTGGGTGTGGAACACTTACCAGGCCTATCTGAAGGTGTGTGGTGCACTTGGGGCGGGTGGGGGGGGGTCCGGGGGAGGGGACCACAGGCCGGGGTCCCAGCACCTTGACCCGAAGCTGCCCCTGTGCTCTGCCAGGACACCTACGAGCAGCTGAGGCGGGATGCTGAGGCCGCAGACAGGGCTGGCCTGGCCTTCGGGGTGAAGCTGGTACGAGGGGCATATCTGGACAAGGAGAGAGAGGTGGCCCGGCTCCAGGGTACCGAAGATCCCACTCAGCCTGACTACAAGGCTACCAGTCAGAGGTGGGACTGGGGCAGGCTGGCCTCTGAGACAAATAATATTAGCATCTAACCTTTCATTAGAGCTCACTCCCCAGGGTGCTGAGTGTCCTGTGTGGGTCTACACAACACTCCCTCTCCCCAGTCCAGGACACCGTCACTTCCCACCTGAAGAGCAGCCTCCTCCTTGGGCTTCCTGCTCCCTTCTCTATCCCCCCTCCCCATTCGGTCCCCATGTGCAGCCAGAGGGAGCCTGCCTCAAATCTTGTCCCTCCTCAGTTCAAAATCCCCCCATGGCTCCCAGTGCACCCTTGAGAAACCCCAGATCCTTGCAGCCGCCTGCAATCCTGTCCCCTCGCTCACTTCACTCCAGCCACACTGGCGTCCTTGATGACCCCCAGGGCCTTTGCACTTCCTGTTCCCACTGCCCAGAACCTTGTCCCTCCAGACAGTGGTGTGGCTCAATCCCTCACTCCTTAGATCTTTACTTGTTGGTACCTTCTCAGGGGACCTTCCTGCTCTCCCTATCAAAAACTAGAACTTTCCACACCCACTCACTTCTTAGATTTATTTTTCTTCCGGCACTTATCAGCAGTTGAGGTTTCACATTCGGTTGCTCATTATTCGTCTCACCCACGGGAGCGTGGGCCCAGGAGGGCAGGGCATTCTGATTTGTTCACTGCTGAACCCCCAGTGCTTAAAATTGCGCCTGCTGTGTGGTGGGTGCTTGGTACAGATCTGTTGAAAGAATGAATAAACAACCCAAGCGGTAGATACTATTATTATCATCCCCATTTCACAGAGGATGAAATCGAGGCACAGAGAAGTGGAATCACTTACCCACGGTTGCACAGCTAGTGAGTGGCAGGGCCAAGATTTTTGGCAGACTGGCTCTAGAACCCACATTTTTACTCACCTCAAATCATTGTGAGTTCCTTGGGCCACCATCCCATGGCCCTGGGAAGAAAGAATTTATTCTTTCAGGGAATTCCCTGGCAGTCCAGTGGTTAGGATTCTGGGCTTTCACTGTTAGGGGCCCAGGTTCAATCCCTGGTTGGGGAACTAAGATCATGTAAGCCGAGAGGCCGCAGCCAAAAAAAAAAAAGAATTTATTCTTTCAATACATACTTGCTGACCACTTTATTTATTTTTCTTTTAAATTTATTTATTTATTTTTGGCTGTGTTGGGTCTTTGTTGCTGCCCTCAGGCTTTCTGCGCTCAGGCAGCAAGTGGGGGCTACTCTTCGTTGCTGTGCGTGGGCTTCTCATTGCGGTGGCTTCTCTTGTTGTGGAGCACGGGCTCTAGGCGCACGGGCTTCAGTAGTTATGGCACGCCGGCTCAGTAGTTGTGGCTCACGGGCTCTAGAACTCAGGCTCAGTAGTTGTGGTGCATGGGCTTAGTTGCTCCACGGCATGTGGGATCATCCCGGACCAGGGCTCGAACCCCTGTCCCCCGCATCGGCAGGCGGATTCTTAACCACTGTGCCAACAGGGAAGTCCCTGACCACCTGATTCAGATCAGGAACTGTGTTGCACCCTGGTTGCAGTGGCAACCAAGGTGGCCACCAAGCCCTGTCTTCATGGAGTTTTCAAAGCCCAATTCCATTTCACAGTGGACCAAGGAGAGGTCTGTAGAATTGCAAGTACTTACCAAGCTTCCAGAGCAAGTTGCCAAGCCACGAAGGCTAAGCTTGCATCCAAGCCCATGAAGGTTCCTAGGCACATTTGTGTCCCATAGGCTTAATCATTTGGCACCATCTTTGTTTTTTTTTTACTGAGATATAATTCACATATCGTAAAATTTGCTATTTTAAAGTGTACAGTTCAGTGACCTTTAGTATGTTCATAAGGCTGTGCAGCCATCACCACTATCGAATTCCGGAACATTTCCATCACCTCAGAAAGAAACCCCAGGGCTTCCCTGGTGGCGCAGTGGTTGAGAGTCCGCCTGCCGATGCAGGGGACGCGGGTTCGTGCCCCGGTCCGGGAGGATCCCACATGCCGCGGAGCGGCTGGGCCCGTGAGCCATGGCCGCTGAGCCTGCGCGTCCGGAGCCTGTGCTCCGCAACGGGAGAGGCCACAACAGTGAGAGGCCCGAGTACCGCAAAAAAAAAAAAAAAAAAAGAAACCCCATATGCATTAGCAGTCACTCCCCATTCCCACCCCCGCTCAGCCCCTGGCAACCACTAATCTACTTTCTGTCTCTATTCTGGACATTTCATATTAATGGAATCATATAATATATGACCTTTTGTACCTGGCTTCTTTCACTCAGCATAATGTTTTCAAGGTTCAACCACGTTGTAGCATGTGTCAGTGCTTCATTCCTTGTTATGGTCGCATAATATTCCATTGTATGGAGAGTCCACATTTGATTTATCCTTTCATCAGTTGATGGATATTTGGATTGTTTCCACGTTTTTTGTCAATTGTGGATAGTGCTGCTATGAACATTCACGTACACATTTTTGTGTAAACATACAGTTTTCATTCTCTTAAAAGTTGAGTTCTCTAGGACTGGAATCGCTGGGTCATATGGTCACTCCACGTTTAACTTTTTGAGGAGCTACCAGATGGTTTTCCAAAGTGGCTGCAGCATTTTAGACTCACACCGGCACGGTGGGAGGGTTCCAGTTTCTCCACATCTTCTCCAGCACAGTACCATTAATGTTTTAATAGAGATTTTGAATAAATAATACATTCACATGATTCAAGCATCAAAATGATATGAAAATGAACACACCGACACAGCTCACGTCCACTCACATCACCATGTAATCACGGGGTCTCCCTGCCCCCGCAGGGGCACTCCACTCTCCTCTGGGTGTCCATTTAGCCGGTCCCCCACTTACAGTCATTTGGGTTGTTACTAACCCTGCTCTGTAGACACTGCTGCAGTGAATGACCTTGGATAAATGTCATCTTGTGTGATGTGGCCCTTTGCTGTGAGAGTGCCATTGTGCCAGAGGCTTTATGTCCACCCTCATCTCACTCCATCCTCACAACAACACTGTTAGGTGAACGTGGGTTGTTAAAGAGAAGAAAAAGGCTCAGAGAGGGGATGTCTCTCGCAGCGGAGGCAGGTGGGAGGCAGGTACTTCCTGACTTCAGGGTCCTTGCCCTTAGGCACCCCACCTCCCAAGGACAGAAATCCCCAGTCCCTGGGGCCTAACTCTCACTTACCAGGTGTCATATGCCAGACCTTCATCTCCCTTCAGTTACAGCCGCTGTCTGGAGCTGATGCTGACCCAGGTGTCCCATCGTGGCCCCATGTGCCCCCTCATGGTGGCTTCCCACAATGAGGACTCTGTTCACCAGGCAACCAAGCGGTATGAAGTAGGGGACTGGGAAATAGGTGGCCAAAGGGTGGTGGACGTGGAACAAGGGGAGGGACAGTGTGGGCCAGTAGGTTCAAAGGGGATCTGGGGAGGATATTCAAAATATTTAACTCCTGCTACACCTGCAGGTCCCATAGGCCCCAGCTGAACAAGGCATTGCCCCTTATTTGCTGGGGCATGGGGAGGTCCCAGGGCTCCAGGGAAGAAGTGGGGACTCACTGGGGATCCTTCAGGGGGCCCAGGGCAGTGGTTATTTATCAGTGAGTTTGGAAGTACTTCAACATTTGAATAACTAGCACAGCCATACGAGTGCATCATGGCTGACTTTCAGCTCTGGATCCAGCCACTGTCTGGATTGATGATGTGGCCTTTTCTGTAGCATGTGGGAGCTGGGCATTCCTCTGGATGGGCCTGTCTGTTTTGGACAACTTCTGGGGATGTGTGACCATGTCTCCCTGGCACTGGGTATGTGAATGATCTGTCCCTCCCAGCCCCACTCCCACATCCCACCCAGTCAGCCCCAGGCCTCATTCCCTCCCAAAGAGATCCCATCTTCCATTCCCAGACAATGCCTGGCCAGGCTCCCATCCAGAGCCTGCAGCCGGCCCGAGCGCCAGACCCTTCCAGATAGATCTGTCCCATAGCTGAAGGCCTTGCGGGCCTGTGTCTCTGTGTCTGCGGTCTGTTGTTTTTGTTGGTTCTTCATCATGGTATCTTGTCGCCTGTGTGCTTTGTTATCTTTACTGTGTTTTTCACCAGGGCCTGAGACCAGAAGATTTATGTTTTCTTCTGCCAGGTGCTAAGGGGTACAAAGTCAGTGTACCCTAACTTCACAGCTTGAGGGTTTTTTTTTGAGATATCCCAGGGATGCAAATTGAGGCTGCAAATATTTTAGGGGACTAACCCATGGCCACAACCTATCAGAGATGGATTTCTCTATTTTTTTCCTTGCTCTGCTCATGGTCAAGGCCATTCCCCGGGAGTGAGGGAGGGTGGGAGGTTTGACTTCTTGTTATCTCTTACTTTGAGGGTCTAGATTTTTGGATTCCAACTTAATCTGGGGAAGTTCTCCTTTATAACTCTTACCGTGGTCAGGCTTTGGGCCTCCATTTCTGTACCCCCTCAGCTTTGAAGTCATTAAGTAGCAGCTCAATTTTGCCTTCAGGATAGAAATGCTTCTTGTGTAACACTTCCTTCTCTGGATTCTCACTTTCTCTTAATTCTTGGATTAGTAAATTCCTTATTCTCTTGGCAGCATTTTCATAACTTTGAGAAGATTTTTTTTTTAATGTTTACTCCAGGATTTTTAGTTTTTTCAGTGGGAGATTTTGTCCAACCCACCTAGTCTGCCATGTTCTCAAGAAATGGAAATCTCTGTTCCAGATGGGGCCTGGGGGAGCCTCTCCCCAAACACCAGCCCACACCCTGCAAATACTCTCCCTCCAGGGCAGGCTGGCTATGCTGTGTACAAGTCCATCCCCTATGGCTCCCTGGAGGAAGTGATCCCCTACCTGATCCGGAGGGCCCAGGAGAACCAAAGTGTACTGCGGGGTGCCCGCAGGGAACAGGAACTGCTCAGCCAAGAACTTCGGCGGAGGCTGCTGGGGCGGGGCCTGAGGGTACCCCATTAGCACCCCCAGGGGTCATATGGTCAATAAAGGTCCTGAGCTGCTGCCCAGGCAGCTGCCCTGTATGGAAGCTACCTCCTTGGGGAAGGGCTCATCTCAGCCTCAGCCAGCCCAAGCTAAGGGGGCTCTGTGGCTCAAGAGAGATCTTTAGATGACCCTAGAGCATAGCAAGGGCATTGATCAAAGACTAATGAGCTCCCCCACCAACCCTGAGGCAGACGATCCTGCGATGGGCCTGGGGTCAGCTCTACTCAGCCAGTTAGTGACTCACGTGGGAATTTTTTTACTCCAGTGGACGCCCAGGTGAAGAGCACAGATGAAGAGCAGACACTGAGGCACTGAAATCTAGAGGCTGGGCTAAGGCCACACGTCCACGGAGGGACAGAGAGAAGAACCAAGCCACTCTCTCATTTAATAAGCATTTACTGAATCTCCTTCTGAGCTAGGCTTCCAGGTGAACAGTGTTAGGGACACAACAGTGACCAAACACAACCCCAGGCCTGGCCTCACAGAGCTCTTAGTCCAGTAGGGGTAGACAGACCCATCTTCAGACAGCGACAGCCCAGGGTGGTCAGGGCTGTGATGAGGGGAGCCCAGGCAGAGTATCAGGGCAACGTTGGGAAAAGCCTGGAGGCTGTAGGAGGCCAGAGGAGACACCTGGTGATCAAGAGGGCGTCCCAGAGAATTCTTAAGACTAACCAAGTAAATACTGAGAAGGGCATTCCAGGACAAGGGCATGTGCATAAACAGATTGCAGAGTCGGGGGACAAGGATGGAGACTGGGGGGCCAGAAGATGCAGTCTTTAGTGCCACACTGCAGGGTATCGACTCTGTCCCAAGGGCACTGGGGAGTAAGGAGGCTTTGAAGCAGGGGAGGGACAGAGTCAGGTTGGGCTTTAGTGAGAGTCCCTTGGCTGCAGCACGGCGAGTGGACCTCGAGCTTTCCGCCTGAGAGCCCAGGGGAAGCTGGGGTAGGGAATCCTGGCAGGTGGGTAGAGCAGGGCAGGGTGTGGGGAAGGGAGGAGGGGGCTGGTGGAAAGAGCAATCAGGAGGCTGAGCGGAAGGGCCGTGGAGCTGATAGGCTGGATTTGAGGGAGACATTCAGGGCCAGGCCCAGGGCTCTGGCTTAAAGAGGGGACAGTGGGTCCAACTCTGAGATGGGGATCTGGGGGGAGATGCAGTTTGGGGGAGATACTGAGGCCAGCGTGGGACCCAGTGGGTGTGAGGGCCCCAGGGAACGTCCAGAGAGAGGCAGAGTATCAGGACATTGTGGGGCAAAGAAGAGAGGCTGGGGCTGAGATGGAGGAAACCGCCCATGGGTGTGGGTGAAAAGCATGGAAAGACAGCCAAGGGCAGGGATCATAAAGGGCCCGCCAGCCCAAACAAGAAGGCGGTAACATTAGGGGGCAGTCAGTAGCTCTGGGGTGGCCACTGCTGTCTCTCCTACCGGGGCACCTCAGGGCCGCAGGAGCAGCTCTCAGGGGAGGGAGGCTACTGCGCAAGCGCACAGGTGGCCAGAGACAGCTGGTGCGCAGGAGCCTAGGATTCCCGCTCAGGACGCCAGAACTAGTGCACGGGGTCACGTGGCAGCCGCGTGGGGATCGCTCTCGGAGCCCAACGGTAGGTACAAAGCTGCAGCGACTGGGCCCTCAGCTGTCCACCAGGCCCCTTCCCCAGCCCACAGACCCCCGCCCTCAGACCTCCCCCTCCCTCACACTCCTCCCGTCCTTCCCACCCCTCCTACGCCCTCAGACCCACCCCTTTATCAGACCCTGTCTTCATTATGCGCTCCCTTCCCTCGGCCCACGGATGCAGTCCTCAGACCCCTTCTTTCCCTCCGTCCCTTCTCATAATCCACAGACCCCATCCTAGCATACAGACGCTTCCCTAAACCTCAGCCCACGCCCCCAACCCTCAGACCCTCTCCCAGGTGACAGACCCCAGCCACTACCCTCAGACCCTCAGATCCCTCCTCAAGCCTGCAGACCCTGCCCTCAGACTGTCCTCCTCCCTTGGACGCCTCCCTCTCACAGCCCGTAGACCCCAGCCCCTCTCAGGTCCTAACCCTCAGACCCCTCTTCCTCCAGCCCCTAGGTAGTCTTCAGACCCTCTTCCCAAGCCCCCAGACTCCTTTCCCTGGCCCAAATCCTATCCCCGTAGCCCTTACACCCTCTCTCCCAGACGGAGTGCCCAGCCCTCAGATTTCCATAGATCCTCTTCACTCCCAGACTCCCTTGAACCCCTGACCTGTTCCGTAGCTGTCCCAGAGCCCACCCCTTTTCTCATTCTAATGCCTCTCTCCCAAGCAGACCCCTTCTGAATTGCCTTTTTTTCTCAGTCTGCCCCCCTGGACTCCCAGCCAGCTCTGTCTTTATTGCCCCCCAGAGGTCTAGTCCTTCACTTCCTCATGCCCTCATGAGACCCGCTAGCTGATCCCTGGCCAGGAGCTGAGTCCAGAGCCCACAGATGCCCTCACTGCGTTCTCGCTTCCCCGTGGAGCTGGGCTCCGTTCGGGATCCAGGAGGCCAGGTGGGCCGTCTGCATCGCCTGGCTATGGCCAGGGGCCCAGGCTGGGGCCTCACCTGGCTCCTTTGGAGAGGTGAGAGTTTGGCTGCTGGAACTGCCTGGGGGGACAAGATCAAGGGGCAGAACGGAGGGTGCGACTTCAGTTGGCCAGTCAACAATTGTGTAGCAGGCACCTATCGTGTGCCAAGGCTCTGTTGTCTGCGATGGGGATTTATGGGTAAACCTGACCTTCTGGGTCATTGTGAATGAAATCTAATATGAGAATTTAAGAGAGTGATGAGAATGGCGTAGGAAGGAGAGGTAAAGGGGATGGCCTTTCAGATAGGGTGATAGCTGGGTCCCACAGTACGAGTCAGTCACGCAGACAGCTGGGGGAAGAGTACTCCAGAAAGATGGAATAGCCAGTGAAAAGACCCTGAAGTCAAAACACACTGGGTATGTGTAAGTAGCAGCAAGGGGCAAGGGGACTCAGGGAGAGAACTGAAGCTGAGGGGGCAGCAGGTACAGACAGGAAAGGGCCTTAAGAGGGGTGCGAATTTTGTTGGATTTTGTTCTGTGTGTGATTGGAAACCATCGGAGTTGCAGGCAGGAAATTAACACTATCAAATTTAGTTTCTGTTTTTCATTGATTTTTGTAAGTTGATTGTGTATCCAGCCACTTTCTGAACTTGCTTAATAGTTGTAATTGTGTGTTGATTCTTTTCCTTTTTTGTTATCTGCAGACGGTGACAGTTTGGTCTCAGCTATTCCATCTTTAAACTCCAATCTCTTTTTCCTGTCATAAGGTACTGGCCAGAACCCCCAAACCTTGCTGTCAATGGACATCTCTTTCCTTGTTCTTGATATTAAAGAGAAGAGCCTATGTTTCTGCACTAGGTACCATGCTTGCTCTTTGGGTTTTGGTTTGTAATTTTTATCAAGTAAGGAAGTTCCCATCTATTCTTAGTTTTCTGCGGTGGGTTTTTTTTCTCCCTAATCATAAGTAGGCATTGAATTTTATCAAGTGCTTTTTTCTACTGATGCAGTTGTACGTGATTTTTGTCCTTTAATTCATGAGTGTGTTTTGTTACATTGATAGATTTTCTTTTGTTGAATCATCCTTGCTTTCTGGGAATAAATCGATTGGGTTACCCTTTTTACTTTATTTAGGGGCTTTGCGTATATGATCATAAATTGAATTGATATATAGCTTCAGTTCTGATTCTGGAAACTCTCATCTGGTTTTGGAGTTAAGGTCGTACTAGCCTCATAAAAATGAGCCTTGCCCTCTTTTTCTATTTTTCTGTTTTGGAACAACTTGTATAAGGTTATATGTGAAATGAAGTGATTATCGTAATGATTATATTGTGAAATGATTTGTGTTTTAAGATGATCCCTCTGCAGTGCCAAACAAATGCAGAAAACCAGTTAGGATGCCATTGCAAAAGATGGCAGGCTACTGAGTAAAATAGGATGCAGTAAATATGATATTCAGAGGTTCCTGAAGGACCACATTTGGAGGGATTTTGCGGCAGAGACCAAGCTAGGTTGGACCAAGTACATGATTAATTAGCTGTGTCTGCCAGTTACATAGGAATGCAAGGACAGAGACACCATGGGTATATGGGATAGAGTCTGGAGGAAGAGGCACTCAGGGATGATGCATGCAGAGAAACAGGGCTTGGGACATGATGGGTGTGGAGATGAAGGGTTGGGAGGGGGGCTCTGAGCAGGATGACGGTGAGTAGGGGATTGGCAAGGGCATGGAGGCTGAATCCAGAGGAGGTTACTACCTGGATTCAGCTCTTAAATGCAGTGTTCAAAAATAAACTTGAGAGATTTCGTGACAAAATCCAGAGAGTTTGCTTTTCTTGAATTTGGTACTGACCACATGGGACCCGTATTCATATAGTGAAGTAGAGCTGGGTGGAGCCTGCCTGCCCTAGACGGTGCACGAGGCTCCTATAAGCCCAAGTGCCCATGAAGTCCACTTCCTCCTGGCCCCTGGGTACCTTGGTGTGATTTTGACACCTCTGGGATGGGGGATGGATATTGGCATAGCAGGTAGATGTCACCTTGTTCCAGTTCTGTGGACTTAATGGTGAGGACTGTGTTGAGATGGATTCCGAGGCAGAGTCCCCAGCAGCTGGAAGGTGGGCATTCTAGGACATAGAGACGGAACCTGGAGTCAAGGATCACCCAGTCAAGGAGGGGCTGTGGGGGCAGGGAACTGGGAGAGGACCTCTGCCCCCGGAGTAAAGGGCAGGGGTAATCCTCAACCTTGCTGCCCCTCCGTTGTCCAGGTAGATGGTGAGAACTCTGCTGGGCAGACGGCGCTCTTCCTCGCGGCGCTGCTGGGCCACAGCTCTGCCGTGCAGCTCCTGCTGGCCTTTGGTGCCAGCCCCAACCAGTGAGTGGACAGGCGGTGATGCCCCACACTCCCAGCGCCCTGAGTCTGAGTCCCAGGGAACCTGAGAGCCAGGGCTGTCTTCCCCAGAGGCCTCTCTCCCTCAGACCCCCTTCCATCCCCTGATGACCCTCCCATCCCCAGTGACCAGCCCCCACCTTGTTCTCTCAGTTCCCCCCTTCTTATCCTCCAGTGACTATTCCCATTCTCCCACTGCCTCCCATGCTCACCGCTATCCTCTCACCCTCTCAGACTCCACTGTGTTCCCAAGTGAGCCCCCATCTTGATAGCCACCTCCCATGATCGTGGTGACCCCTTTATCCCTCAGTCCTCCCCCCTGCCACCTCCTGTCCCTTTCCTAATCCATCACTGTTCTCATCGTTCTGCTGCAGCCGCTGCCTGGACGGCAGCACACCTGTGCACGCGGGCGCCTTCTCGGGCCGCAGCCTGGTGATGCTGCACGTGCTGCAGGCGGGGGGTGACCTGCGTCTGCACGACCAGCAGGGTCGCAGCCCTCGGGAGTGGGCAGAGCAAGGCGGTGCCAAGCAGAGCTGGGAGGTGAGCCGTGGCCGGGGTGGGGTGAGGGCGTCAGGGCGGGCGCCCCACCCTGCCTCACCCCACGGGCCACCCCCTGTCCGGGTGCTGGAGCCGTTACAGCTCTGCCGTGCCCACACATCAGCACTGGTGCATGGCAGTGAGCTGGCACCCACGGCCCCGCTGGGCCAGCTGCAGGCCAGCTCTGGACGGAGCCTGTGTGGCGGTGAGCGGCTGATGCAGGCCGACAGGTAACAGCCCACATCCCGAAGCCTGCCCACCCGCCGCTCCCAGCTACCCTGGACTTACTCTCAGACGGCCCTTCACCCCGGGGCACGGAGGCCGGAGCAGATCAGGAGAACCCCCCAAATCCCAGCCGTAGGGTTCGGCCAGGTAAGCGGGAGATGTTGGAGGGAGCGGGGACCACTCCGTCCTCCTCCTGCCTCATGGTCCCGCTCCCCACCCCCAGCGGAGCAGCTTGTGGCCACTGGGGCTGGTAACAGGTGGACCCCGAGGAGCGGCTGCCAGCCCGGGGCGAGCCCGACCGCACCTATGAGAGCAGCTCCCACACCCTCATGGCCAAGTGAGAGAGAGACCCCTCCCACACGCCTGCCTGGCTGTGCAGCAGAGCTCGGGGGAGAGTCCAGCTCTCCTCTCCCCTTACAGGGAAAATCCCCTTGTCTCAGACCCACACTCTCTCCCCCTCCCCGTTTCTCCAGCCTCCTGTGGAGGGGCCACCCCGTGACCGTGACCGTGACCGTGTGGCAGCTGAAGGCACCTGGAGCCCAGCCTGACGTGCTGTTGCCTGACCTTCAGCACTGCAGGTACGTCACCCCAGCCTTCCCGCCAGGCCAGCCCAGTCCTGCAGAGCAGTCTCCTGCCTGCCCTCCCGACTCAAGTGTTTCGGAAACAGAAGCGCAGGGAGTGTGGCAGTGGCCGCGGTTACAGTCTTCACCTCTGGGCCAGCGCTTGGCATGAAGCCCTCCTACTGGTGTGACCCCTCCCCATGGGCAAGTGGGTACCCAGTTCTGTGCACTGTCTTGTAGGCCTCTGAGAGGAGGCAGGCGTAGGGAGGGATACCACAGACAGGGTGCTGGTTCTACCACTGCCAGGCTGTGTGACCCGGGGTCTCGGTTTCCCCTCCGTCTGGTGGCTGAGGCAGATCGTCAGCCCCTGGTGCGTGGTGATCTGTGCCCGAGGGCAGCCCCCTGCCCCGTGTGGGTTGGGGCCTCCTCACGAGTGGCCTGCTCTCTGCCTGCCCAGAGCCCTGCACCACCCCAGCCTGTTGCTGCTGACGGCACTGAGCCCCTCGGCCGACCCGTCGGGGCTGTGCCTTCTCTTCGAACCCGTGTGGCTGGGACCAAGAGAGGGGGCCCCTGCCCTGTGCCGGCCTGCTGCCTGGCCACCTGCCGCTGCAGGTGCTGGAGGCCCTGCTGTTCCTGCAGGCCGCTGGCATGCTCCTGGAGGCCTCAGCTCCTGCTGTTCCTGCAGGCCGCTGGCATGCTCCTGGAGGCCTCAGCTCCACCCGTCGGGGCTGTGCCTTCTCTTCGAACCCGTGTGGCTGGGACCAAGAGAGGGGGCCCCTGCCCTGTGCCGGCCTGCTGCCTGGCCACCTGCCGCTGCAGGTGCTGGAGGCCCTGCTGTTCCTGCAGGCCGCTGGCATGCTCCTGGAGGCCTCAGCTCCTGCTGTTCCTGCAGGCCGCTGGCATGCTCCTGGAGGCCTCAGCTCCCATGCTGTGCAGTTGATGCAGCCAGGCCTGGCCAAGGTGGGCACCAACCCTGGCTGCGGCCCAGGTGAGCGCCTGCCTCACTTGCCTGCCCCTGCGTCCCTGTCCGGCGGCCACTGGCTCACCAGGTTCCTTGGCCTCCACAGGCCACAGCAGGGCTACCCGTGGGGAGGCCCAGGTCCAGGCCCAGGGCTGCCCCCACCTCCCGAACTGTACCCATGGTTGCTACTTGAGCTCATCTGCGGTAACACGCCTGCCGCCACCTCAGACCTCTACAGCTTCTGCATCCTGGCCCAGGAGGTCTTCACTGGTCAGCGAGTGACCCCGCTCCCTGCCCCAGTGAGGCCCCCACCCGTTTGGGTCCCCCAATCATGCTTCCTCACAAGAGAGCTTCCCCGGGCTGGAAGAGAAGGGCCTGAACTGGAGGCCGGTGAAGGCTGAACTGGAGACCGGTGAGAGCCCAGCTCTGGACCCCCTGGTGCCAGCCCCCTACCAGGCCCTGGTTCGGGCTGGGCTGGGTCTAGGGCCTGCTGACCACTGGGGCAGCCTGCCGAGTACACAATACCTGCTGAGGAAGGCCATGGCTCAGGTATAGGGCGGGTCGGCCAGGGTGGGTGGTAGCCCTGGAACCTCAGGCAGGGCCCGTGTCCCACACCCAGCCTCCTCTCCACAGGACTCAGCCTCTGAGGTGAGCTCCCCAATGGATTGGACCACACTGTGCCCTTCACCCCAGGGGTCTCCACCAGGTTAGAGGGCAAGGAGGGGATGGTAGCAGGTGCTAAGCACAGGTCAGCTGTGACCCCACCCCATTCCAACCAACTGGTCTGTTCCCCCAGAGCCAAGACTGCACTCAGGCCTGTGCCCCCTGTGATGTCCCCAGGCCCCTCCGCATCCCAGGTAGGAGCCAGGACAGGCATGTGGAGGACCAAGGGAGCTGTGGGGCACCTGGGCAACCATGCCAGCTCTCTGCCGTCGCTCTCTGCAGGTCACGGGCCACAGCAAAGTCCAGAGGGGTGCAGCCTGGGACTCTCTAGGCAGCAGCTCGAGTCCCAGCCCCAGCCTCTGCCCAGGGCACAGCCCCACAGCCAGCGTCAGCCTGGACCGCTGCCTGGAGCCCAGATCAACAGTATGGACGCCCTGAGCCCTGTGCCACCAACCATTTGCTCACCTGTGACCCCTCCCTCCAGTTGTCACCAACCCCAATTTCCCTGGCTGCCTCTCCTCTGACCAGGGACCCGCTGGGACCCCCAACTGTCCACTCGATGACCCGTGACCCCCAACCAACCCTGCTTCCCCCAGGGCCCTGCCCTGTACTCCAGCCTTCAGGACTCAGCCTCCCTGCTGGGGACTCAGAGCTCTGAGGAGCAGTTTGAGAGGAAGTTCTCAGCCGAGATCCAAGCCCTGCAGGGGCCGCGGTGGCACACACACAGGGCTGCCCTGCTGACCCCCAGCCCTGTGAGCCCACCCCCTGCCTACTGACCCACAGGGAGGCTTCCCACACCCTGGAGACTGCTGGCAGGGAAGGCCACGTGGGCAGGTGAAGCAGAGGACCCTGAGCCCAGCCCCTGCCCCACCCCACCCTCCCAGGGCCATCCTGAGCTCCGTGGCCACCGGGTGGCAGCTCTAGTCTTTTACTCCTGCAGGCGCCCAGCCCTGAGCTGATCAGAGGAAGTCTCTTCTCCAGCCTGCAGAAGTGAGAAATGGGGCACTGGTGGGATGGCCACAGGCCCCTTCCTCATCCCTGAGATAACCCTCACCTGCCCGCCACCAACCCCGTCCCCCACCCCCAGGATGGATCTGCTGGAGATCATAGCAGAGCTACAAGGCGGATGCCAACTTGAAGACAGGCCCAGGCTCAATCCCACTCCTGACACAAATTGTCCGGGCACCCATGGCCCTTCTCTGCAGATGTTACCCCTCAGAGTCTCCCAGGAGTGACTCGCCACTTAGCACCTGCTGAAATGATAAAATGAGAAAGCAACCCATCTGTTACTGCCTCTTTATTCACTGAGCCTGGCCCCAGCATGACACTAGCAGCCACATTTTCACCATTTTTATTCATTAATTTTGTCAGATGGTTTAGTGGGGTATGTGGGGGGAGATGGCAGGAGCTGTCCCCCCACCCCCTGTGCACAGGACAGGACATGCTGGGAACTCCTGGAGAGAAAGGGAGGACAGGGAGTCAGCCTAACCCTCTCAGATTTGTGCAAGAGCCCCCAGGATGGAGGGTGGTGGGGTGATGGGCATGCCCTTCAGCCCAGGGTAGGTAAGCTATGATAACAGGTTAGGGACCCACATCAGAGGCAAGTTACAAAGTTAGAAACCTGGGGTAGGGGTCAGGAGCTCAAGAAAATACAAAACAAGGGATTAGGTTGGACCAAGATCAGTGAGGGAGAAGAGAAAGGAGGAAGGTCTCTCCCAGCTCTGGCTCAACAGTAGCTTCGGGTCTGGCCCTCAGAGTGGAAGGACCAGCTGGGAGTGGGGTAGGGGGGTGGGGGACCAGCCCCCTCCCTTCCTTGCCCCCCATTCCTGTACAAGGACCCTCGGTGGTGCTCGCCCCCCCTTCCATAGGCTGGTGGGGCTGCCCTGTAGGGGAGAGGGTCTGGAGGGCCCCAGGGCCCAGGCACCCTGTGAGGGGTGTGGTGGCCCCAGGGGGCCCGCTGTTTCTGGGGGAGGCGGGGGGCTGGGGGACCAGGATCAGAGCGGCTTCTGGGGTGGGCCGGAGGGGAGGAGGAGCTGGAAGAGGCGGGTGAGGGACCCCTGGGCCCTAGGGCTAGGTTGACATAGAGGGGCTCAGGTCGGGTGGGGCGCCGGGCAGGGTGCTGGGGGGCTGAGTAGCCAAGGTGGTCGTGGGGAAAGCAGGAGGGGGGGGGGGGGTAACTGAGCAGGAAGTCGGGGGACCTATGGAGTGGTGGTGATTGGCCAAGCATGCCATACGAGGCATTGAGCCTATCTGGGGGCATGGAACGCAAGGGACTCCAGGACCGGGTGGGACCAGAGTAAGGGGACCCCTCGCCTGCCTCGATCTCATAGTACAGGTTCTCTCCTCTGTCCAGTGGTGCAGGGGGACCCAGGGGGCTCCTCCAGACTGGGGCTGGGGAGCTGGGCTGGAAGGATGGGGAGCCAAGGGGGTACAAGCCTGGTCTGGGGACCCCGAGGAAGGATGGTAGGCACTCCCGGGGGGCTGAGAAGAAGCCAGGGGTAGGAACCTGTGGGGGGACAGAACACAGGAAGTGGGCTGCCATCTCTGGCACATCCCTGTACCTCCCACCTGTCCTGAGCTGGGCACTGACCTGGGAAGGGCCCCTGGGTCCCCTCCTTGAGGTCCCCGTGGGCCGCTGGCTCCTCACCAGGCTCCCATCGCTTTGTTGTCTTGGTAGGGAGGGTGGGGGTCCCGGAGCCCAGGCACCTGGGTGGGCTAGGGAGCGGGGGGGTGGCCCACTCCCTGAGGTCCCTGGGGGCTCACTGCCCACCTCCAGGGACAGCGAGCCATGGAAAGGGGAGTGGGAAGCAGACGGGGTGCTGCCCTGCTCCTGCTGACTCTGTCTCTGAGCCACCTGCTGAGCCCGCTCAGCCAGGGCCAGGGCCATGAGGCGCGCTGGGTTTTTGGGAGGCGGGGGCGGGGCCCCCCCAGGACGAAGGAGGGACAGGGGTGGGGGCAGCAGCGGTGAATCCATACCAGCACCTAGGAGAGGAGTGGGAAGAGGAGTCGGCAGGGTCTTGGGCGCAGCCTCAGGGCTGTGAGGGTGCGGGATCAGGTGGGCTGGACAGTACTCACCATGCTGGCCTTGGGCTCCCCGGGGACCAGTCAGTGCCAGCTTGCTGCAGATCTCCTGTTGGCAGGTATCGCTCAGCTGGGCCTCAGCTCCACGCAGCAGCAGGGGGATGAGATGGGGGCGCAGGCCTGGGCTGGGGCTGAGGGCTGGTGCTGGGGTGGCCGAGGCAGGTGTTCCTCCAGCCCCCAGCAGCTCCAGGACAGCGGGTGGCACCGATACAGCCAGGGGCTCTGAGATGTCCAGGGCAATGGGTGAGGCAGGGCCGGTGGGTCCACGGGGCGAGAGGGCCTGGGGGGTCACCCTGGGTGGAAAGGCAGAGGCGGGGGCCGGGGGTGCCGGGCTGGCGGGAGGTGCAGGGTCCCCTGGGGTGGGGCTGCTGCATCGAAAGGTAAGGGGATCAAAGTCAAGCCCCCGGAGCCCCTCCAGGCAGCGGGGTGGGCTGAAGTCCAGCTCGTCCCCATCATCTAGCCAGGCTGAGGCTCGGTGTGAGGGGGAACCGGAGAGTGCCCCCAGCCCAGCTGCGGAGGACTCGGAGGTCTCGGAGGACTCGGAGGTCTCAGAGGACTCGGAGGATGATAGGCTCTCGCAGGAGCCAGCAGGTGCTGGGCCCACAGGAAAAGCATCACTGCTGGAGTGGGGTCGCCGTAGCCTGTGCAGCCTCTGGAGGCCTGGAAGGGCAGTATGGGGGGCGCAGTTAGGGGTCAGGGGTCAGAACTTTACATACCCATATATATCAGTGAGAACAGGACACACCACCCAGTAAGTTGGGGAAATAACATGAAGAGGCACGTCCCTGGACAGGGTCACAATGGCTGGGAATCCAGGGAGAGCTGTTCAGACTCATGGGTGATAAAGGAAATAAATGGCAAGTCCATGAAGAGAATCCTTCCAGACCCAAAGGCAAGAATGAAGTCTGACGACCCCACTGGCTGTGAGCATGAGACCAGCAAGATCTCATACACAGTGGCTGGGAGTACAGCGTGGGGCGACCACGTCTGGGAAATACTTGGGCCTTGTCTTGTACAGTTGGACGTGAGCATACCGTACAGTATGCACCTCCACTCCTGGGCGAGCTCATCAGAGCCCCCAGATCCATCAGGAGGAGGATGGACAAGCAACTCCCAAGGGGACACCCACACATGGAACACTAGAGAGTGACGGAGAGGAGGCTGAGCTATACTCAGCAGCGCGGACGGCAGCCTATAATGCGGTGGTGAGTGAATCCACATACAGCACGATACCGCTTTTAATGGTACCCTTTAATTAAAGTTTCAAAACAACGAGAACTTCCCAGTATGTTACTGACGCCTGCACCTGTATGTGATAAAACTGTAAATGCAAAGGGATGAAGACTGTCAAATTTAGAGGATGCCTGTGGTGGGGAGGCAGCAGGTGGGAGGGGGAAGAGTTCGCAGGTAACACAGTGGCGCTCTTTTAGTTCTGGCCAGTGGGTTCATGGGTGTTCATTATACTATTTAATTTTTTTTCAAAAGGGATGAATAAAGGACTTTGAAAGGACGCTGCAATGGACCAGTGATCATAGTGCATCAGGAAACAAGGGTGAAGCTTTATCCAACTTATTGTACCTATGTCCAGATTAAAAACGAAAAAAACCCAAGACCCCCAAATCTGAAAACACCACTTGGAGGCCAGCTCAGGGCCCCAGTCCCTCCCAGCTCCACCTGGGCATAGGCAGCGCTGCCCTGTGCTCACCAGCCCCGCTGGCCTGCGATGACAGAGACTCCTCACTCTTGGTAGATCTCAGCGTGACGGTGTCAGGTCGGCTGCCTGCAGGGAGAGGAAGAAGGGTCACGGGGGGCACTACGCAGTGCCTCTCTGACCACCACGCCAGCTGCCCGGCCTCTGACCTGAAGGTGGCGGTCGGGCACGGGTGCCCCCCAGCCAGGGAAGAGGCTTCTTTCGGGGGATGCTGGGGCCCCGGCCCAGGGCAAAGAAGGTCTTCCAGCTGCTACCCCCAGGCTTCCGCTGTTTCTCGCCTCTCTCCCCTTTCCTCCTGGAGTTTGGGTGAGACACAGGAGGCAGGCTGAGAGCTGGGGCCCCCCGGCGAGCCCCTCCCCTTCCAGGCCTCCCACTCACCTTTCCACAGGTGAAGCTGGGGCCTTGGAAGTTGTGGGCTCGGTGGGCGTCCCCAGCCGGCCCTGGGTGCGAGCCTGGGCTTCCTCCAGCGTCAGCAGGCGAGTGGAGGGGCCGCTGCCCGCAAGGGACTTGGGCCTGGGGAGGAGGCAGCGGCCTGGGAAGTCGGGAAAGGGGGCAGCCGTCAGCTCTGGGACCATTCAAGGCCACAGGCAAAGCCAAGCGCTACAGCCCAAGCCCCGGCCCAGCAGCGTGCCCACCCGGGCTGGCAAGGCAGGGGGCCAGGGCGGATCAGGCGGGAACGGGTGGGCAGCAGGCAGGTGAGGAGGAGGCGTGAGGCAGAACGAGCTGATGAGGAGGCAGCTCCCAGCAGCCAGCGAGGACAGCGGCTCTGGCTTCAGTTACCTCGAGCCAGAGGGCCCTCCGACGTGCTGAATCCTGACTGGGCTGGGGTCCGGGGCAGGGCGGGGAGTCTGGGTGGGGCTGGGGCGGGGTCAAGTCTGGGGACCTCCCACCTCCTCCCAGGTGGACCCAAGGCCCCGAGCGCCCCCAGGAGCTACAAGGGGTGAAGGAAGAACGATGTCCGGGCCAAGAAGTGGGGATCCTGAGCGTAGGAGCTGAAATGAGAAGGGGGGGGAGGGGAGGGAGAGGCCGGGGCGGGGTCCTCAAGGAGCCAGAAGGGAGGTCCAGCTTCAGTGGGATAGGGATGGGGCTGGGAGCCCACCTGCCCTCCCGCTGCAGCCCGGACAATGAGGGGGCAGTAGTCAGGACATCGGGGGTGGATGGGCATACCTGCAGGGTCAAGGCCAGCAGAGGTGAAAGTGTCGCTGAACAGGACGTCCACATGGGTGAGCAGGAATTCCACCACCACCGACTGCACCCGCACCTCCCGGAAGGCTGCTGCCCCCCCCAGCCCCACTGACTCCAGCTCCATGGACCTGGATGGGAGGACGGGGAGGGTGGCCCGGTGCCTCGAGCCCCAGCTGGTGGGTTCTGGCCAGGCGAGGTAGGGAGCCTTGGAAGCAATGACTATCATTCAATGTCTCTGACCCTGTCAAACTAAAACTGCATTCTCAACCCTTCCCCAAACCTGCTCCCTCCCTGCCTATCCCATTTCAGTCCGTGTACTTCTTCTAGTGGTTCAGGCCAAACACCCTAGAATTGTCCTTGGCCCGTCTTTCCCTCACACCCACATCCAGTCTCAGCAGACCCTGTTGGCTCCACCCACAAAGTCTATCCAGAATCTAAACTCTGCTCCTCCACTACCCCCACCCTGGCCCAGCCTCCATGCTCTCCCTCCTGGACCATCACACAACCTCCTCCCTGGTCTCCCTGCTCCCATCCCGCCCCTACAGTCTGCTCCCCACACACAGCCAGAGGGAGCCTGTGAACCCCTGAGTCAGATCAGGGCCCTCCTGGCTCAGAGCCCTCTTCTGGCTGCATTTCACTCCTGGTAAAAGCCAAAGTCCTCACTATGACCCACAACCCATAAGTCCCTCCCCTACCTGGTCCATCACCTCTCTGACCTTACCATCTCCTCCCCCTCAACCCCTCCCTCACTCACTCAGCTCCAGTCACACTGGCCCCTCTGCTGCTCCTCCAAAACACTAGGCTCTGACCCAGCCCCAGGACCTTTGCACTTGCTATTCCCTCTGCCTAGTTTGCTCTTCCTCAGATATCCACATGGGTCCTTCCCTCCCCTTCTGCAGGTATCAACTCAAATGTTACCTTCTCAATGGAGTCTTCCCCACCCACTTCATTTAAAATTGTAAACCTCTATATTCCAGGTCTGTCTTTATTTTTTCTCCTGTAGTTCTTATACCTACCATGTACCATCTATTTTATTTATTTACTTATCTGTTTCCCAAGAAGAACTGAACTCCTCCAGAACAGAGAACTTGCCTGTCTTGGTCACCATCAAATCCTCTGGGGCTTACCCTGCTGCTGGCCATGGAAGACTTCTTCCTGAATCCTTCACTGCCAGTCTAAACATTTCAAATGCCATGGCCCTGCAGATCTCCCTTCCCCACTTTGTAATCTTTCTCCTTGCCACTCATCACCATCAGACAGCGCTCTGGGTTTTTCTTGTAATGGTTCACTGTCATCTCCCGCATGAGAATGTGAGCCCAGAGCACAGGTTCCTGCTCACTACTGTGTCCCCGGTGCTGAGAACAGGGGCTGGCATACTGGCATCCAACACTTAAGAAATATGTGAAATGAACAAGAGAGCAAAAGCTGGGTGGGTTCCTGGGGTGGGGGAGGGGGAGGGGGAGACTCAAGGCCCAGCCTGTGGGAGGGAGCTAGGGGGGCAGGCTGGTGAGCTGCCAGCTTACCGTAGCAGGTTGGGTGCCCAAACAATGGCCAGGTTGCGGGCATGCATGCTGGTGTTGGCACTGTGTCTCGCCATGCGGGCCAAGTGCCTCAGCAGGTACTCCAGGGTCCTGGGGGTGGAAGCGGAGGGGGACGCCTGAGCCTCAACTCCCTTGGGAGCCCACCACAGCCCTTCCCTGCCCCTCCTGGTTTACCTGTAGTGCGGCGGGGGCAGCTGCTGGATGACGTCGTGGACCCGCACCAGGCGTTCCTCCTCCCCAGGCACTGACATGGCTTCCTGAGATTGTGTGAGCATGAATGAGGGGGGCCGCACGCCTCCCAGCACCCTCCAACCTTGCCAGCACCCTCACTCACGCTGAACTTCCCGTAGAGCTGGTATGTGAGCAAGGGGTTCGGCAGCTCTCGGAAGTAGAGCTTGCAGAGGGAGGACACGCTGTGGATGTCCTGCAGGAAGGCGGGGCCAGACAGTTCAGGGATCCTCTCACTGTCAAACTCATGCCTGAGGCCACCAGGTCAAGGAGGAGGAAGATTCGGGTCAGAGCTAGCCCACCTGGCCGTGTCCTTCCCCCGCCCCCCAAAGTGTCCCCAGGTGGGTGCAATCCTCTTCCTGTGCTGGGCTCTTCAGAGGCTCTCAGGGCCTTACTGAGCCCCCTGCCCCCAGCAACCCTACGTGCCAAAGACAAGGGCACCCCACTTACAGAGGAGGACACTGAGGCTCAGGCGGGAGATGCCCTGCTTGTAACTACCCAAGGCTACCTGCCTCCACAGTGTGACAGGGCTCTGTCCACAAAGTTGTGCCATTTTCCTGGCTCCAAGAGGTCACACTGGAAAATGCAGCTGAAATCCCAGCGGCCTCTGCTCACAACCTGGCGGTGTCCCACCCTCTCAGGTAAAAGCTCTATGCACGTGACCTCGGCCTCATCTCTCACTGCCCCAGGCTCCACGCTCTTGCTTCACAGCCTCCTGTCAGCTTGGAAGCCCATGCCTCACTGCTTCCCACCTCTTTGACTGTTGTTATGCATGCTGCCCCTCCTGGGCTCAGAACCCATCCTGTGGCTCCCCTCTTACTCCCAGTAAAAGCCCAAATCCTAACAGTCATCAAAAAGGCCCCCCATGGGGCTTCCCTGGTGGCGCAGTGGTTGAGAGTCCGCCTGCCGATGCAGGGGACACGGATTCGTGCCCCGGTCTGGGAAGATCCCACGTGCTGCGGAGCGGCTGGGCCTGTGAGCCGTGGCCGCTGAGCCTGTGCGTCCGGAGCCTGTGCTCCGCAACGGGAGAGGCCACAACAGTGAGAGGCCCGCGTATCAAAAAAAAAAAAAAAAAAAAAAAAAAAAAAAGGCCCTGCATGCTCTGCCCCTAATCATTTCGCAGACATCATCTCCTGCTGCTTTCCCCTCCCGCTGGCTGTTCCCTCCGACGTGGACAAGCACATGGCTCGCTCCCTACCTCCTCCACAGCGAGCTCTCCCCCAGGAGGCCTTCTCCGCCCACCCTACTGAAAACCACAATCCCCCCCCCCCCCGTTTTCTTATTATGATCTTGCTTACCCCTGTCTTTTTTCCTCCATACCACTTGTCACCTATTGTAAACTCTCTCATTTCCTTGTTTGGCTCCCCCTCTAGCACGTGGGCCCCGTGAGGGCAGGATTTTCTGGTTGTCTCATTCACCACTGCGTCCCCAGTGCCTAGCGCTTGGATGTGGCAGGTGCTCAGTGAAGGCCGACCCCTCTGCTTTGAGTGCTTGCTCTGCTCTCACCTTTCAGACCTCAGCTGGGGTGTCACTTCCTCAAGGAAGCCTTCCCTGCCCCCACCCCGGTCCAACCCTACCCTGTGCCCTCCCAATAACTCTGTGTCCCCAGCACATGGCACAGGGCCTGGAATAGAGATGATGCTCAATAAATGTTTGCAGAGGGAAGGGGTTGGTGGAGGGTCCTTACCGTAGCCTCTGGATGTTGGATGACACACCCGAGAGCCGATAGATTCCATCTACCACCCCATGGGCCTCGATAAACTCAGAGCAGCAGCGAAGCACCTGGGGCACTGGGAGAAACAGCGGGGTCAGGGCTGGGCAGGTTGCAGCCTGGCTGGGAGGATCGGGCAGGGCAGGTGGGCCCGGGCCTCACCATCCTGGCCTGAGTTGCTGAGGTGCTCTCCAAGGTCACAGCCGAAGACCCTCTGCCGCAAGATGCCCCGCTGCCGCAGCCGCTGCCGGGAAGGGCGGGAGTGCATGAAGGTGCGGAGGAGGCCGGCCAGCTTCCCACGCGGCCGGGGCACAGCTGTGGGTGTAAAGGCGGGTCAAACAGGGTCAGTGCAGCCCCCGGTCTGATGGGGTGGGAGGCAGGGGCCTCGCCCCTCGTTTGCATTACCTGAGGTCAGAGAGGAGATACCCTGGGGAGCTGGGACACCACCCGGGGGACCGTCGGCATCTGTGGGGCGAACAAGGGGTGGAAAGGATGGATGGCAGACAAAGGATGCAGGAAGGCCTCCCCACTTTGCCCAAGACACTCACCCCCCTTTAGTCCTGGACCCGGCCGCTCTGTGAACAGCTCCACACACTCGCTGGGGAAGAATCCGACCTGAGGAGGGTTTGGGGTCAGTGACTGGGCCATCTGAGCTGGCGCGGTGCCCCAACCCCACATGTCCACCCCAAGCCAGGCTCACCTGGAAGCCCCGCTTGCCCCGCCACCAGCTCCGATCCTCCGTGGGCGGCATGTCGATCACTGAGACAATGTCTCCCACCTGGGAGTGGGCAGGTGTGAGAAGGGAGGGTCAGAAGGCGCAGGGGAAGTGGGGACCCAGCTGGAGTCTGCTCCTCCACAGCCTCACCTCAAAGGACAGCTCGTCTGGTGCCTGGGCCGTATACCGCTTCACCACATGGGCAGCAGCCACCGCAGGGATATTGAGTGAGGCCTCCTCACTGAGGAGCAGTCGCCGGCCGTGGTTGTCCAGCTGAGATGGAAGAGAATGTGGCAGGGAGAGGCCAGAGAAAGGCAATAATAAAGACAGAGAAGGTTCCTCCATGCCCAATGGAGGCCACCACCTGTCTTCCACCCAAGAGCCCCTGTCACTCAGAGCTATTGGTCAAACACCTACATCCTTGCCCCTCCCAAAACAAAGCCCTTTCCATGTCCCAGGACTCTCCTGCCCGAAGTCTTTCTGATACACCCCTGCACCCTCGTCCTCCATAGCAGACACTGCACATCTGCTATCTAAAAACCTGCTGCTTAGGGCTTCCCTGGTGGCGCAGTGGTTAAGAGTCCGCCTGCCAATGCAGGGCACATGGGTTTGAGCCCTGGTCCGGGAATATTCCACATGCCACGGAGCAACCAGGCCCGTGCGCTACAGCTAGTGAGCCTGCGCTCTAGAGCCCGCGAGCCACAACTACTGAGCCCGTGAGCCACACTACTGAAACCCATGTGCGACAACTACTGAAGCCCGCGCTCCTAGAGCCTGCCCGTGGTCCGCAACAAGAGAAGCCACCGCAATGAGAAGCCCGTGCATCGCAACGAAGAATAGCCCCCGCTCCCTGCAACTAGAGAAAGCCCACGTGCAGCAACGAAGATCCAACGCAGCCAAAAATAAAATTAATTAATTAATTTAAAAAAAAACCAACCCTGCTGCTTTAAGCCACTCTTAGCCCGGCATTCTGTGAGCTACAGCCAAACCTATTTCTAACCAATATACCTTGAAATTCTCACATCCCTACAGCTCAACACCTGTGCGCGCATGCGCGCACACACATTTTTTCCTCATAGGCAAGCGCCCACACAGACACTGAAATACCAGCGTCTCCTCCACTCCTACTCGTTTCTTTCCTGTGCCCACACACACCCTCCCAGGCTGGTTCTTGCTCCCCAGACATTCCTCACTCACTCCCAGCTCCAAGCCCTCCTGCCCGGGCCCACCTCCATCCAGGTGAGCACGGGCCCACAGTTGAGGTTACTGTCCACCAGCCCTGACAGGGTCTCCAGGTACTGCAGCAGCAGCGGCACCAGCATCTGGGGGCAGGTGGTCAGAGTGGACTATGTGAGAAGACCCCACCCAAGACAGCCCACTGCCCTCCTATACTGCCCTAGCTCGCCTCTGGCAGAGCCGAAATTCAACTTGTACGCATGGGTGCTGCTCCGTTCGCTCTTAAGTACTGAAATGCTGTTATATCAATTGGTTAAACAGACTATGCTAAGTCCCCGTGTGCCCCCATTGGTCTGGCCATTCTGACCCTTCCATGGAACCCCCGGGAACTCCCTATGATCCTACAACTAAAGGGAGTCTCCAGAACCCTGCTGCAGCTCTAAGGCCTCTGACTGGCTGGGACTCGGGCCATACCAGTGCTTAAATATTTATCTATTCCCCTGCCTTGATGGTTTCACACATCTCTGATGAGGACACACCTTGGCTGAGGTAGGGGCTGGGACAACAAGTAGTTTACCTGGGCAGCCCTGGCACCCTCTGGGGGTGGGGGAAGCTCTGGGAGGCAGGAAAACCTCCGGTCAAATATGCACCGGTGGAGGTGGGCATCCAGGGAACGGAAGTCATCATAACTACGGAGAACTGGCCAGGAACGGCCCTGTGGGAGCGGGAAGGACAGGAGGGAGCAATGGTTCCATTACCCTGAGCTGAGGACTGTGGCAACCAGTCCGCCAGGCTCGATGAGAGGCAGGGGTGGGTGGCCTCACCTGACAGGTCACCTGCACCCCAAACACCAGTTCATTCTCTCCAGAGAAGCTGGGACCTTCACGCTCTGGAGACAGCAGGAGCTGTAGAGGGAAACAAAGGTCCCGGTGAGGGTCTCACTTTTTTCCAGCCCTGACCTCTCCAGATCGGCATTATCTAAGGATGGGTCTGTGTCCCCCTCCTAAGCCTCCCCAAAAGCAGGGCCTCGTGATGTCTTAGTCAGAGTACAGGGTCCTGGCACAAAGCATACACTTAACAAAAAGTTGTTGCTGAATGAATAAAGGAACAAATGAATGAATGAACAACCCTCCCCTTCTGCCCTGCAGCTCCTGCCACTGAGCAGCCAGTCCCAAGGGTAGGTTTCAGCGGTAAAGTGGCTGATACTGCTTCAGGGCTGGGTGGGATCTTGCCTACCCACCTGGTGCTGCCCCCATACCTGAATGTGGCCGAAGTCAACGTTCTCGTAGTGGAAATGGGCACAGTCAGCCAGCCGGGGAAAGGGACCTCGAGGAGCCGAGAGCCTGGGGGACAGGTGACAGGTCACTAGTGGCTCCTGCGCTTGGTTCCCCTCCTAAGTTGAGCCTCTCCCTCACCTCTCACCTCTTCCCAGGCTTGCCCTTCACACTGGGCCCCCCAGCTGGGGGCAGGGGCTGCACTGAGCCTTCCCCTGGGCCATCCAGGCTGTCAGTGCTGCGAGCCTGTAGAGCAGAAAGAAGAATCAGAGGCCCCCAGAGATGGGAGCAGAGAGACAACGGGAGCATTGTTATCTGTCAGCCTGGGCCTGCGGGCCCGAATTGCGCCATACACTGCCCTGAGCAGGGAGAAGAGGGGTAGGTCAGGGGGAGGTAAAGGCTGGGCTGAGGGTAGGTCTGCTTCTTCGTGTGTGGTCTGGGGTGGGGAGCTGGCAGAGCAGGGCCCACGGGTGAATTAGGGAAAGAGCATGTTGGTACCATCTCTCCCCACTTAAAACCCTCCTGTAGCCCCAGCGGAGTACAGTCATCTCCCGTATGTGCCTCTCCACGCCTCTCATAGACATCTGGACAGTCACTGCTCCCATCTTATCAGTCTTCCTGCTTCCACCTCTCCCTCCCAGCCAGCTTCTTCACAACAAGAGCCTGTATAACTTTCACAAAACACAAATCTGCCTCTGTCTCTCCACAGGTCATGAATCTTCAATGGCTCCCTGTTGTCTTTAAGATAAAGTCTAGGGCTTCCCTGGTGGCGCAGTGGTTGAGAGTCCGCCTGCCGATGCAGGGGACGTGGGTTTGTGTCCCGGTCCGGGAAGATCCCACATGCCGCGGAGCAGCTGGGCCCGTGAGCCATGGCCGCTGAGCCTGCGCGTCCGGAGCCTGTGCTCCGCATCAGGAGAGGCCACAACAGTGAGAGGCCCGCGTACCGCAAAAAAAAAGAAAAAAGTTAAAGTCTAAATATTCTGGTCTGTTTACCTCTCCAGCCTCATCTCTTCCCACTGCCTCTGCTCTCAGAGCTCTCAAACTTCTAAGAGTCCAACAAAAGTACCATCTTCTCATTTCCTTCTAGGGCTTTGCAAAGGCTGGTCCTGCTGCATGGAACACTCTTCCCCATCCTTTCCCTGTCTTTTCACTTATCCCTCAGGTCTCAACTCTCATGTTCCCACCTCTCGGAAGTTCTCCCTGACCCTTCAGGTTGTGTCAGGCTCCTCTTCTGGACTCCCGCATCCCCTGAGCCACCCCCATCCCAGGCTTGATGTTGCCTGAGCTTCCCTCATTACAGCCTTGAGCACTCTGAGATGTCCCTGTCTGGTGACAGTCCAATGGAGGAGTCCATCTCCCCCATTGGACTGGGGCTGAGTCCCTAGTCCCCCAGCATTGCCCAGCACAGAGCTGGGCACAGAATTGATGCTCCTCACAGGTTGGGTTGTGCCTGATTCCTCTCTGGGTCCCAATGCCCAGTGCCAGCTCAGTCACACAGCAGGGGCTGGGTAAAATCTGATGAATAAATTAACCATCTGCCAGATGAGGATTCCTCAGACTGGGCTCTAGCCTCTCCCTCCTTCGTATCTCTACAACGCCGACTTCATCCTTTGGGTCTCACCCTTGGGTGGGTCCCTCTCCAGCCCATGAAGCTCCCCAAGGCAGGAGGGGATCTGACTTTCTCTGTGCCTGGAGCAAAGGGGCTACACAGAGGTCTCAGTGAATGTTAAGTGAGCGAATGAGGGAATGAATGGATGAATGAGCAGGAGCAGCAGGGTGGGAGAGGGAGATGGTGGGGGAGGGTGGATGAGGACAAGAAGATGGAGAGGACCCAAGGATCACATCGGGGTACAATGCACGCTTGGGATTAGGGTGGAGTAGGGAGGAGGGTAGCAGATGGAGAGGCTGAAGTAAAGGTTCAGGCTGATGGGGGATAAGGGAGGGTTGGCTGAGAGGGACTGGGAAGGGGTGAGAAAGACGAGAAAGAGAAGAAAAGGGTCAGGCTGAGGATGAAGCCGGGTGGGGGTGGGGCTCAAGAATGAGAAACCGGCTGATGGTAGGAGGAGGAGGAGTAGGGGTCTAGGCCAGGGAGGGGTGGAGGCTGGGATGAGGACGCTGAGGATGGCGCTGGGATAGGGGCTGTTGAAGGACCCAGAGAGCCTCAGCAGGCCCCTGCGGGGGCCACTTGGAGGATGTGGGGTCCTTCCCTGGACCAGCCCTTTTTCCTCCCAAGTCTGGGTCTTCGGCCACTGTCACCCCCATCCAGGGCGTGGAAGGGGGATGCGCGCTGAGGGGGTGGGGCTCGGGTAAGAGCTCGGGCCCAAGACCAGGCCGGGGTACGAGAGGGACCGCGGTGAGGGGTGAGGGGCGGCGCAGGCCGCGGGCTCGGGCGGGGCCGGGGGCGGGGCGCGCGGGGCGTGGCCCCGCGCGGACAGACTGACTTCGCCGACAGATTGACGGCCGCGTGGGCGCCTCACCACCATGGTCGCGTAGCCTCCTCAGGCGCCGGCCGCGCTGGACCCCTCGCTCGTCGTCTTCGTTGCCGATGCCGCCGCCATGGCGACACAAAGGGGAGGGCGCGAGCTGCGCGCGGGCAGCTGCAGGCCCCGCCCCTAACGGCCGCCCATGGCTCCGGCACTAGCCTCACAGGGGCGGGGGCAATGGGGGACGCGGCGGAGCGTCTCATTGGCTCCACCCTTGGCCTTAGGACGACGCCCCGCCCACCTGGCGGATTTTCATTGGCTTGGGTCTCATTTCTGGCTCGGTCTCTCCGGTCCCGCCCCGCGAAGTTTGACAGCGCCACGCCTATGCCTGCTTTTCATTGGCCGTCATTCCCCTCCTGAGACACACCCTCAGGTTCTTTATGCTTTGCTTCTAACATTTGTAACACTAAGCTGTGGACCCCTCCCTTAGTCCACTGTCAGTGACCGCTCCTCTGCCACTTTCAATTGGCTTCTCCCATGGCCTCAAGCTTTTCTCCATCCCCTAAGCAGCTCTTCAAAGTCTCGATCCTCTGACCCCACTTTGTCAGTCCTTGACCCCTCCCCTGCCCACAGAATACTAACAACATTGGCCTCTGGATGTTTTTCACTGGCTCAGATGCCCTGCCTGGGACATAACCCTAGGCAATCTGCGACTTAGACTCCCGCTACTCACTGGACATTTTCCTTGCCTCCTCCTCTACTGCTTCGTACAGGCTGGCCTCCAGCCTTCACTCCTTTTTCCTAGGAATAAATTTAGCCTGCATGCCTGAACATGACCACGCCTCCTATAAAGCCAGTCCCAATTGTTCCCGCTGTTGACTGAGGCTCAGAAAACACTCTGTAGGGACTTCCCTGGTGGCTCAGTGGTTAAAGATCCGCCTACCAATGCAGGGGATACGGGTTCGAGCCCTGGTACGGGAAGATCCCACATGCCGTGGAGCAACTAAGCCTGTGTGCCACAACTACTGAGCTTGCTCTCTACAGCCCGCAAGCCACAACTACTAAGCCTGCATGCCACAACTACTGAAGCCTGCACACCTAGAGCCTGTGCTCTACAACAAGAGAAGCCACTGCAATGAGAAGCCTGTGCACCGCAACCAGGAGTAACCCCCGCTTGCCACAACTAGAGAAAGCCTGTGCGCAGCAACAAAGACCCAACACAGTCAAAAATAAATAATAAATAAATTATAAATAAATAAATAAATACAGCTCTCTGGTCCCTGGACCAGGTATGTACATTTTAAAAAAAGAAAGAAAGAAAAAGAAAACACTCTGTAACAACGCCCTTTTCAAGAGCATTTGCCATTGGTCATGCCCTCAACAAGGCCCTCGAAGGTACATCCTTGATCCACCCATTCATTCATTCAAAAACTCTGATCGCTTAATTTGTGGATATGTCAGTAACCAAAACAGGGGAAAATATAACCTGCCCACATGGAGCTCAAAAGCTAGTGGGAAAAGACAGTTTACAAAATAAGAATTTTAAAATATAGAATATTAGAAAGCGGTAAGTTCTATGGATAAAATTTAAGCCAAGATTGGGGAAAGGGAGTGCTTGACTGGGGGGTAAATTTACAGCTACTTATTTCAGTTTATTGAACTTGCTGACCTCACTTCCATAACAGGGATTTCCCACATGAATTTCCCTCTGCCCGGAGTATTCTCTGCGCGCCACCCCCACCCCCACCCCCGCCATTAAAACACGACTGCTAATTCTTTCACAGTCCTCTCATGAAAAGGTAGAGTCTATCTCCATCTGGGCAGGATTGTGACAACTTCAACCAATAGAGAATAGGAATGAATAGAAATTGACACTATGTGATTTCCAAGGCTATGTAGTAAAAGGCAAAGGCATTCTTCGTCCACTGGAATGACTAGCTCTGGAGCCTTGAGGCATCATGTGAGAAGTGCAACTCTGCTGAGGTAGTCGTGCTCTGAGGAAGCATAAACCACATGGAGAGACCTTGTATAGGCACTACAGTCCGTAGTTCCAGCTTAAAGTCATCTGAGCCCTGATGTCAGACTTGGGAGTGAAGAAGCTCCAGAGATTCCGCCCCCAGCTGTCAAGCCACCTTTGTCTTCCCAGCTGAACCCCTAGACATCATGGAGCAGAGACAAACTGTCCCCAACTGTGCCCCGTCCAAATTTCTGACTCACAGAATCCATGAGCATAATAAAATGATTGTTTTATGCCACTAAGTTTTGGGGTGGCTTGTAACCCAGAAATAGCAATTAGGATGGCCCTTTGTTAGTTATTAATTCCTACCTGTCTCAGCTCAAATATAACTTCCTCAGGAAAATTTCTAGGTCCCACTCACCCCCCAAGATCAGATTCTGCTACTATAAACATCTTTTTTTCTCCTTATACCTAAGCAGCTATTTCCTTCTTTTGATTTTATTTAAATGTATGGTTTGTTCAAAAAGACTGAAAACAAGTATTTACCATGTCTGTGACATACAGAGCTACTTTTTACAGAAATCTATCCTATCTTCTCTTTTTTTGTAAATACAAATATCAAAATAATACTGATCATATATTCTCCAACATTTTATTATAAAAATTTTCTAACATACAGCAAAGCTGAACAATTTTACACCCATATACCCACCACTTAGATCCTACCATTAGCATTTTACTATATTTGCTTTATCTCACATCTACCTATTACTCTATTCATCCATTAATCTAATTTTTGGATGCATTTCAAAATAAATTAAAGACATTGTATACTGTCTCCTAAATACTTCAGCATGCATATCCTTCATTGGAGTTCAATATTTATTTTTCTTTTGAGGTAAACCTTACATACCATGCAATTCATAAATTTCACTGAATTTTGACACCTTTGTAGTCAAAATCCTTATCCAGGATGGCAACTGGACTTTTTATATGGCATCCCAAGGCTCCAAAAGGAGGGGGACGGGGACAGATGGAGAGAGAAGAGAGACTGGGAGAAAAACAGGTGGAAATTATATCATCTTTTCTAATCCAATTTAGAAAGTTAAAGTAATATCACTTCCTCTGCATTTTATTTGTGGAGGCAGTCACAAAGTTCAACCCAGTTTCAAGAAGGGACATAGACTCTACTTTTTTGATGGGAAATGTGTCAAAGTATTCACAGATAAAACAATAGGTTTTTCACAATAGTCCGGACAGGTGACGATAGCCTAGACTGGGGTGGGGCAGTGGAGTGGGGAGAAAGGCAGGGTTAAATTCTGGAGAGATTTTAAAGGTAGAGATGATAGAACTTGCTGGTCAACTGACTGTGGGTGTGAGGGAACGAGAGGAGTCAATGACAGCTGTGAGGCTTC